ACAGCTTGTCCAGGGGGTAGAGCAAGTTCTGGAGCACAAGTCTTCAGTACAATTGCCACAATGTTGTCAGGGCCCATTGCCTTTGAAGTATTCAGTGCCATCAATCGTAACTTGATATCATGTGGAGTGAATCGAATTGGCTGAAGACTGGCATCTGTGATGTTGGGGACCACTGGAGGCCATGCTGGATCATCCACTCAGCACTTCTGGCTGAAGATTGCTGTGAACGCCATATATTTTGCACTGATATGTTGGGCTCTTGCATCATTGAGGATAAGGATATTTGTGGAGCCTCCTCCTCCAATGAGGTGTTTAATTGTTCACCAGCAATCATGATTTGACGTGGCAAGACTGATTTGATTTGATTTATTGTTGTCACATATACCTAAGTACAGTGAAAAGTTTTGTTTTGCATGCAGTAGCGGCAGATCATAACATAAAAAGGAAATACAGATGCAGAACTTAGATATGATCCATTGGTTGTGGAATCACTTAGCTCTAGCACTTGTTACTTATGCTGATTGGCATGCATGTTGTCCTGTTTGGTATCTTCACTAGGTTGACAACTGCACAACCTTTTAGCGATTAAGGTACGAAGTTATATCCAGTAAACTGACTACATATTAGGAGGAAATTTAAGAAAAGAACTGTTGTTTGCTTATTTATATAGTTATGATTCTTGAAGGCCCTAAATTGAACCCTGTGACATGACTTAAATGTGCATTCAGGTTCTGGTATCTTGCTGCTCTATGGTCAGGTGTCAGACAGTAAACAGACAGGCTGTTTTAATTCTTGACAAACTGAGGTATTGAGGCACTGCTAAAAGTGCACCCTCCAAATATAATACCGTTTTCCTTCTCACCATTTAAAAAAAATAACTTAAACAAAAGGACAGCCTACACCAACTGTTTTGTGACATGAGTACGGTAATATTAAGGGCAGTTGTGCCTTTAACATTTGTAGGTGGATAGACAGCAGTTTGGGAGCCTGTATACGCACTATATTATGGGGTTCATCTCGGGGGTGGGAAGGTGGTTAGCTGACCACTTGATCTATTTTACAAGCCCTCCCATCAAAAATACACGTGATGGGGGTTCATAATATTCAGCAAGTTACTTCCCATAGTAAGCGCTCAACAATTTAGTTTGTTTTTACCAGTAAGTGTGGTCAATAATGCATTGTTTTGTTCAGTAGTTTTTGATCTTTGTGTACCTCTTGGGCTGTATTCCAATGCCTTTTAAAAATATATAAAACTGAACTAATGAAGAACAAATAACTTGTATTTAATTATTTGGAATTCACTGCTTGAAAAGGTGGTGATTGCAGCTTCAATATTCACCTTTATAAGGGAAGTGGACATATGCTTATAGGAAATAAACTGCAAAACTACAAAACAGGAGGGGAATTGGGAATAATTGGATAGCTAATGACTAATTAGATTGTTCAAAGAGCTGGTATAGGCATACTGGATTGAATGGTCACGTTCTGTGTAGGCAGGCATGTTGTTTAACCTGTGACTTGAAGAGCCCTCTTGTGGTGAGTGGTAGTATCCCTATCCCTGAACCAACAGACCTAGGTTCAAGTCCCACCTGTTCCAGAGGTGTATGTCATAACATCTCTGAACAGGTTGATTAGGAAAATAGGTTAAATATTTTTTTAAAAAAGTGTCTGAACAGGTTGATTAGAAAATATCCAACCTGTGACTGACAAATCACACACCATTTAAAATGTATGTCCATATGACTAAGTGTGCATGGAAATTCTACTTGAACATAAACTATTAAAATTATTTAAAAGCACCTTTATTTTCAAAGTAAATTTTCCAACAAAAAATAATCAGTACTTCCTCTGGAGGAAATGGGGTAAGTGCGGCATAAAGCAATAATGTTACATTTCCCAATACAGGAATGAACTGGTAATTTCTAACAAAAAATGTTAATAAAGCAGCAAAAACAGAAATCCAATAAAAAATAGTTGGAATCAAAGTGCTGAAGAATATGTCAAAGTTTTTAATTCTACAGCAAGATATTATTTCTTTTTATTGTAGATTTCTGAAACATTTCTTTGGTAGAAATCTTTCATCTATGCTAGCATACTTTACAGTATATTCCATCTACTCAATAACACCTTCAGGTTTTGCATCTTGTCCTTTTCCTGAGAAATTATCTGTGTTTTCTCCAAAATATGACATGTTGAATTTTACTCTTGTGAAATATGGATAAAGGGCCTGTGCATCCTGTTGGAAATTACCAAAGGTGATGAGATAAATCAGGACAAAATTAGGTGCTCAAGTGTGAACATTAAAATGAGTACTGTGGAAGCTGAGGAAAGTATGAAGCAGCAAGCTTTGTGGTGAATAACCAGTTAATTTCACAGAAAAAGGCAAGGATGCTTCAGAATAGCACCTTAGTATAAACCAAGAGAGCAAATTTCAAAAGAAACAAACAGCATGATGAAAAGAGAGAAGGGCACTTAAGGTGGACAGAGGCTTGGATGCATCTGGAAACTACAGAAAGTCAGAAGTTGTTGAAGGAAACTAAGAGATAGTAGGAACTGCAGATGCTGGAGAATCTGAGATAACAAGGTGTAGAGCTGGATGAACACAGCAGGCCAAACAACATCAGAGGAGCAGGAAAGCTGACGTTTTGGGCCTAGACCCTTCTTCAGAAATGTAACATTTGTGAAGGAAGCTAAGAGTCTGGAATACTATATCCCTAAAATGTTGGGAATGAGTACAGGAAACTCATCAGGTAAGAGGGTTCAGGAGGAGAAGTCTGCTGAGGATTTGGGAATATTTTGACAGGTTTGTGTAATTAGTTTTCTCCACACCAAATGTCATTTTTAGATTCTGTGTTGTAAGAAAGATTTCTACTGTAGTGATTGATCACAGGGCTATATCCTGAATAGGTAAGTTGAATATTTAATTGACTAACATCGTGCAATGATTGAGATGCATTAGATTACTTTTCCCATTGGAAAATAGATTGTTATTCATTCAAAAGTGTTAAATAATAAAAAAAAGCAGGATGCCTGGGAACTTGACATCATGATCTGAATAGCCACTGAAGACAGCTTTTACTTGGAATCAAATTGGCCAGGTGCTTAGATTTTGAAACAATAAATCTGTTCTTTCAATTTCAACAGGCACCATAGTCCAGAATTGAGATAGTTTGTTTAATAGCTAGGTCTAATATGAATGATTGGTTGAGTTTCAAAAGCTTCTGAAGCAATTAACTCAACAAATAATTGTTTATAAGTTGCAGCAGACGAGGAGCATACTTTGATGGTCTATTTTATGAGGTTATAATAGGATTATTTGCCTTTGATGCTCCTTCGGAGTAGATTTCTCATCATTAAACGGTTTTTAGGTTTCTCTCTAAGGTGGGAGCGAGGTGCCCTGATTGGTAGTTTTGTTAGATTGTTAAGAGTTTAGAATTTTGTTTTAAAAAGAGGCCACTTCAATGGCTTCACATTACCATTGTGTACAACATTTAAACATGCAGTTCCCTTTAAACAGAAGCAAGTTTGGTCATCCAGAGGTAAGATACACCTATGAATTGAGTGATTTATTGTCACTTGTATTTAAGGGAAAATAGAGTGAAAACTTTCAACTATTGGATTAGGTACCCTTTGGGAAAGGCTAGGTGTCCCTTTGGGATTATTAAATTAGAGACGATTATGAATTTAAAAAATGGATAAGGTCTCTGCAACTGCCAAGTTGTCAAGTTCCCTGACCTTTAAATTTTGAAAAAGCACGGAATCTACAGTTGAAAAAAATCTGTGCTAGCAATTTAAATAGATGCATTTGACATAAGGTTGAATGGTACTATTATTGTATTATCTTTGGTGGGGGGAGGGGTGCTGTAAGTATACAGTTTGATTGACAGCTCCAAGTCATCTTAAACAGATTAGTTGGTTTTGAGGTGATGCTTTGAATACAAGTGGTTGTTTTCACAATGAAATAGGGAATTGAAGGGATTTAAATGTAATTAATGCTTTTTTTAAAAAAAAACGTTCAGTCTGAAATAGACACTTTGAACTTCATTTCCTATAATAACACCATGGATCCTGAGATTTGCTCATGGTGGACGCTGAGTGAGTTGGCGTGGAGGGTATAACAGGATCACAAGTTGGCACTAAAATATAAGGGGAGGTCATGGGTTGGCATGAGTTTGCATTAAGTTGGTATAGGGACTATAAATATCCATTGGGATGATTGAGGTGTCATGGGCTTCTATGAGGAACATACAGATAAATGTACCATGGACCGACAAAGGGACTATGAAGCACTTTGGAGACAGGTGATGAATCTTGAGTGGTATGGAGGGTATGAGGGTACTGGGATGTAGATTGAGGGGCATAATTGGCACACTGGTCATGAGTGGCCTTGGGGAGTTGTTGGAGGTATGAGCTGGCTTCAGTTGGCACGGACAAGACATATGGAATGTGTTGAGATAAAGGACTACTAGAGTGAGGACTTTTCTTTTGCCTTAGTGTTCAATTGTAAAACAAAAACTAAGTGGGCCTTTTAAACAACCAGACAGCCCTTGTGGCTGACTCTGAATCCTTCCCTGGGCATAAGTCCCCTTAGCACTCAACCACCCCAGAATGAAGGTCTATCCTCTTGTTGCACTTTACCCAAGTTGGGCTTGTGGAGTTGGGACTTTTTTCCGACTGCAATCCTAACTGGCTAACAAAAATTTAGTCCGGCATGAAAGTTCTGTGGAAGTCAATAAACACTGGAAAATGGAAATGAGACTGTCAATAGATGAAGTTGCTTAGAAATACTAAAACAGCAGTTGTATAGAGGTATATGAATCATTAGAATCTCTACAGTGGGAAAGCAGGCCATTTTGCCCATCAAGTCCACACTACCCCTTCAAAGAGCAGTCTTGTCCCTGTAACCCTGCAGTTCCCACGGCTAATCCACCTAGCCTGCACACCTTCGGACTGTAGGATGAAACCCACGCAGACATGGGGAAAATGTGCAAACCCCACACAGACAGTCACCCGAGGCTGGAATCGAATCCAGGTCCCCGACACTGAGAGTCAGCAGTGCTAACCACTCAGGCACCATGCCACCCCAAATAATGTAGGAAGTAAACAGAAAGCCAATCCATGAAATCGATTTTGGTAACTGGCTTATAAACTCATTGACGTTTATAGCAATAGGAGGCTATTCAGCCCTATGTGTCCACACTAATCCCGTTTTCCACCTTTTGGCCCATTATCCTGAGGGCTACGGCAATTCAAGGGAACATCTAAATTTTCTTTAAATGTTATGAGATGTTCTGACTCATCCACAATTTCAGCCAGTGAGTTCCAGACTTGTACCACCCTCTGGGTGAAAAAAACTTCAACTCTCCTCTTAGCTTCTATGTCATACCTTAAATCTAGGTCCCTGGTTATTGACATCTCTACCAATGGAAAAAGTGCCTTCCTATCCATTCTATCTATGGATTTCATAATCTTACACATCTCTAACAGGTTCCCTTCTGGTTAAGATTTGAGCTTGAATTTTCAAAGTCATGATTAATGTGTGACTTTGCTTAAGTTTGCAGACATTAGAAATTATAAATGTAAAGTTTACAGGGCAGTGGTAATAAGAAGAAACCTTGATCTGAAGGATAGGAGGAAAATATGAGAACATGGACTGAGTGTAAGACAGATTAACAAGAGGACAAGGAACAGAAGTTAAGTTTGGAAATAAATAATCAGGATGATGGCAAGAGCAGAATCAGCACCAGCAGAGCTACTGCAACCCAGAGTGCAGAGTATCTGACAGATACAAAGATTGGAGAAGTCATGATGGTCTAGTCAGTGTAGATGGGAAGAAATTGTTCCCATTGTAAAAGGATCAAGAACTAGCAGGCACAATTTAAGTGCTTTGTAAAAGAAGCAAATGTGAGGTGAGAAAAAAAAATTCCACAGAGATTCTGAATGTGCTGCTGAGAAGTACGGTGGAGGGAGGTTCAACGGAAGCATTCAGGAGGGTATTGGATGATTATCTTAAAGATAAATGATCTACAAAGCTATGGGAAAGAGGAGTTTGACACTAAGTCAGAGAGCCAGTGCAGACATGAGGGGCTGATTGGTCTCCTTCTGTCCTATACCAATTCTGTGAACATGTGATCTAGTATGAAAAAACAACAACTAATGCTCGTCATAGTCACTGGTATAAAAGTTGAGTATGGAAACATATGGAAGCACACTGTAACATAGTACAATGGTCAGATAATATATTCCTTTTGCTGTTTTTATGTGGTTTCACTTAGCTGTTTGTATAAATAGGGTTCCCTTCTTTTACGTCTCCCACTTGCAGGTCCTGTTTGGGAAAGTACAAATGTTTTACATTGAGAATAAATGACAATTGGGTAAGTTTTAAAGTGCTGTTTCTAAATGTTATCTAGACTATAATAGCCATTTTATGTTTGAATACATTCAAAAACATAACTTCAAATGTAAGTGGGCATCCCATATTACTGTATTATAGTGAGAGAGAGAAAGGTTGTTTTATAAACAGAGCAATATAACAAGTTATATTACTTTTTTATCTGTAACTAAGGAGCAGACTTTTTGAAATTGAATGTGGGTTGCAATGATATGAGGCTGGGATTTTGTGGCCGGGTGATCAGGTAACAGTGGGCTAGAATGATGCTCTGGCAGTCAATGAATACAGTTCAAAAATGCAAACTGGACATCAGTTTAGAGTCAGACAAGAATAAATATTATACAATAAAACTCAGAGCTATAGACAGCAGCTGGGGAAGAGAATAAAATGACAACAATTTCAAATGTGCCCATGTTTAGGTACTGTATGTTTTGGCCCATCATGGACATGATTATGGATGTGTGGTTATGATACCACTGTTTCTCTTCAAGTACACATAAGCAATTAATAGATAAGGTAAAGCTGGTGTCATCAACATAAAACTTTTCTACATGTATGCCACTGTTGATGAGATCATGAGATGGGTGTTGTAATTATGATGGCAAGGCCTGGTTACTATAGGTAGAATAATGCTGTCAATAATTCTTCCTCTGTTAGCCTAGGGGCTTTCTGGCAGCTAGCAGTGAGGACTGAACTATGAATTAATTTTATTAGAAGCCCATTTATCTTAGGATAACAAAACAAGGTTTATTACATAATAGTAACGATATGTAGGTTCCATGAACACTGAGATACATTAAATATTATAAATAAAAGAGGTCAATAAGAGACTGTGCCTCCATGAGCAGGCTGAGCCCGACTCTGACTGCTCTCTGATGAGGAGATGGTGTTGGACTACGTCAAACATCACATGACACCAGGTTATAGGCCAACAGGTTTATTTAAAAACATGCATTTTCAAATAATCCTGTTGGACTCTAACCTGGTGTCATATGATTTTTTGACTTTGTTCTCCAATCAAAGGGCCTCCAACTGCTGCTCCATCCAGTGGCTCAACTCGTGGACTAATCCTTTTGTATCCAATGCCTATATAACAGGCCAAGAAGAAAAGCCATTGCTCAAGAAGAGCTAGCTATATTTGGGCCGGTAAAGATGGAAATGGGCAATACCGTCAATGGGATTGAGTGGAAGAGTATAGAACGATCAAACATGCCAAAAGATGCAGATTTCACTAACCCACGTAGCCACTATCATAAGGAACAGGGAGGTTTCAATGTTATGGATGGGAACACCTGTAGGTGGACAGAAAAATGTTGGCTAAGACTGTTATACATTTTCCTGTAGTGAAATATTCAAAGGCATAAAGGAGGAGAATTTAGAAATATGATAGGGAGAGATTAGATGCGTCATATCAGGCTTCTAAAAAAAAAAGCAGTTACAGTCCTCAATATATAATACAGTACACTACATGTGCCACACATACATACATATAGGATATCATGTTAAATGGAATAAATTGCTAAATAACCAATTAGATGCGTCATATCAGGCTTCTAAAAAAAAAGCAGTCACAGTCCTCAATATATAATACAGTACACTACATGTGCCACACATACATACATATAGGATACCATGTTAAATGGAATAAATTGCTAAATATCCAACACACCTTCCTTTACCGAGGGAGAAGTAAGAAAGTGCATGGCTATATATTGTGGTTCTCATTTTTTCTTGCATATCTGCATCTGGTTAGTGTCAAGCTCAACTCAAAGAACCTCCAGAACTCTTGAGATTTTAAACATTTAAATAAAATGAAAATAGGTAACTACCTGAAAGGAATTTCTTCTCCAGAGTCTTCCAATCTGCTTTGGGAACTCTGGCTAAAGCAGCAAGTTGTGACATGAATGTTTTTTCTGCCACCTAAATGGTAAATTTAGAAAGAGAAAGTATGTCACCTAAGAATTCAAAACAATCACTAACTTGGTATCAAATGGCACTGCATTAACAATTTCATTCAGATTCCAAGATAAGTAGTGCGACAAATGCAAAAACTGTCAGTTTAGTACAATAGGGCAGTTCTTTAGTTTTTGCAGATACACAGGAACTTTAATCTGCACAAACTGTGCAATGTAATCATTCTGGAACATTAGATGCTGGTATGAGGCTTCAAATAGAAACTCTTCCATTCCCTAATTCAAGCATTTCTTGTCCTTATAAAAATTAAAAATTCACACAATGTCATTGAACGAAATGTTAACATTGAAATGGTGAGAAAAACTGTGGGATTACAATTTCAAGTATTGAAACACAAAAAAAAATGCTCTGTTGCACAACCTGGTTTTGCAGGTCAAAAAAAATTAAAATTTAAAATTGACTATCTTCTGGATAGAAGAGGAAACAAGAGGGTTATGCCTGGTACTTAAACAATGTCTATGAAACACCCAATTCCATATAACCCATAGGAAGGGTAAGCATTAGTAAATGAAAAGAGCCCCTCACGAAATGCAAGGCCCCTCTGAAGAGCTGGGCTGCTTTAAGCAGAACAAGCATTTTGTTTTTGAGGCATGGAAACCTTTTAAAACAAAATGTATAAGTAGAGCAGGTATGCTCAACTGCATATCTGACGGTCTTTGCTGAACAATGATACCCTACCTTTGTCTTATCGCCACGTCTTAAACGTATTCTTCAGTTCTCTGCCTGGTGGCAGGTCTGATCCACAGTATCAAGGCCTTCACATGTGTAGGGTATGGAGGCAGGTTCCGAGTCTGGCCCATATGGAATTATGATTGAACCACATTGCTGTTGGCACTCTCTGATCCACCATCCAAATGGCCTTGCAAGGAGCCCAAGTTGCTGTGGCAACATACATTCTTACACGCAAATGGTAGCGTGGAGCTATGGATGGCGATGATGGAGGCTCTAATTTCTTTCAGCAACATGCTGACCAGGAACTTCTTCTGCTCTTACTGACAGCCGTGGCTTATATTGGAAGTATTTATAAATTAACACTCAAGCTGCTTGATCGAATTATGAATGCACCTTCCTTAGCCATCAAGTCCTGGAGTGGAACGTGCTTAGAGGCAATGATGCTACCCACTGTGCCATAGCTTTGTCCTATTCCCACATACCACCTCCTTTTCAGGCAAGGCAAGTGATCTCCTCACATTCTTATACTGAAATAAGGTGGAGATGGAACAGGCATTAATATCAAAATCAACAGCACAGTTTTGGCCTGCCTTCAAAGTTCCATTTGATTCTAATACCGAAAACAGGCCCATTTCATCAACATCCTATCATCATCCAGTGCTGACAAGTCTACTCGCAGCAGGAGTCATCCTAAAGAGAGAGGAGGAGTGGAATATTCAATTGATTTGCCCTTTTAACACAAACTATGGACTCTTAGAATGATCACATTTCTGTCTCTGTTGGGTTCCATTGACCCAACTCAGCACATATTGTAGTTTAAGTTTTGAAAAAAAAAACTTTGGATTTGTATCACTCAAACTAAACAACGCAATAAGTTGTGGATAGATATGATTTATTCATTTCATCCTGTCAGTTATATGTGAGTCAAATTTCATGTGGAAAGCCACAATTATTAGTCCTGCAGAATTTATATGATGCTGTTGTAAGCAATCTGTTTTTCTTAACACATCGTTCAGGACCAAATTAATAAATGAAATCCTGCATCAAGCTGTTGATGGACCCCATTGCTAATATCTTTTCCTTTCGTTTTCACCAGTTTGTTTTACGTACGACAGCAAATCACCCAAAAAACTACTGAGCTGAATTTCATAGAATCCCTACAGTGTGGAAACAGGCCATTTGGCCCAACAAGTCCACACCGACCCTCTGAAGAGCATCCCACCCCAACCCCTGCAATTACCCATGTCTAACCCACCTAACCTAAACATCCCTGGATACTATGGGCAATTTAGCATGGCCAATCCACCTACACTGCACATCTTTGGACTGTAGGAGGAAACCAGAGCACCCAGAGGAAACCCACGCAGACACAGGGAGAATGTGCAAACTCCACACAGACAGTCACCTGAGGGTGGAATTGAACCTGGGTCCCTGGCGCTGTAAGGCAGCAGTGCTAACCTCTGAGCCACTGTGCCGCCCTAAAGGAGTACAAGGCGTGGTTGAATTAAATAGCATTGTCATAGAATCCCTACAGTGAAGACACAGACCCTTCAGCCCACACCAACCCTCCGAAGAGCACGCCACCCAGACCTGTCCCCCCCACCCTGTACCCTGCATTTCCAATGGCTAACACATCTAATCTACACATCCCTGAACACTATGGGCAATTTAGCATGGCCAATCCACCTAGCCTGCTGGAATCGAACCTAGGTCCCTGGCACTGTAAGGCAGCAGTGCTAACCACTGAGCCACCATGCCGCGTATCATATCCAAGATTTTAATGTGTATTAGTCTTATTTTAAATTGCTTAATATTGCCACAAAAACAGTGGGCAACAAGTGCCTTATGGAAACATTAATAAGCTAATATCACAGTGCTGTTACTTGATTTATGATGACCACGGTTTTACCTTTAGGCGCGAATCAACCTGCTCCTTCAGCTGATGAAGCAGCACTGTCCTCTTCTTTAGGAACTCCATATTTGTCTCCTCTTCAAGCAACAACATGGATATAGTCCTTTTCTGCTGTAGCACCAACCTGTTCGCAAAGATAGACAGAAACACTAGCAATGATGTTAAATGTTCTACTCCTCCAGTTTCTGCTAAATGAATAGTACAGCCTTGTCCAATAGGCTATATAGTGATAGGATAGTGATGGTCATAGTGGTTATCTCTGAAATATACAATAGCTTAGTACTATCTAAAGTCTTTAACATTATTAAATGCCCTCAGCCAATGAAAGTACTATTATGCAAGAGTGCCTTATTACACAGGTGTCAATACATTGATGAAATCCAGCAGGCTATCGTGTTGGAATCATTCGGAATAATTGAATACATACATAATATGGTAAATAACACAAAGTGGTTCTTTATTCAGCTATGAGCAGCAACTAATTCAAATTAATTGGGAGGAAATGCTGGTACCGTGATAATGTCACTGACTCTTTTTTTCAGTATTTTCAAAACTATTGAGTCTACACAGCGTTCATAAAACAGAATAGCAATTTTTTTCTTAATTTCTCTTTAACGTAAAACAAAATGATGGATTCATGTTCTTCCATTTTCAAAAAGGCATCCCCAGATTCTCCAATTTTTCAAAAAAATTCCCAAATTTTACTAGACAATTTTCAGGCGCTAGGGTGGCATAGTGACTCAGTAGTTAGCATTGTTGCCTCACAGCGCCAGGGACCCAGGTTCGATTCCAGCCTCGGGCAGCAGTCTGTGTGGAGTTTGCATATTCTCCCCGTGTCTGCGTGGGTCTCCTCCAGGTGCTCCAGTTTCATCCCACAGTCCAAAGATGTGTAGGTTAGGTGGATTGGTGATGCTAAATTGCCTATTGTGTCCAGAGGCACGCATGCTAGGTGGATTAGCCGTGGGAAATGTAGAGATAGGGTAGGGAGGTGGGTCTGGTTGGGATGCTCCTCAGAGTGTCAGTGTGGACTCAATGGGGCAAATGTCCTGCTTCTACACTGTAGGAATTCTACAATTCTATGAATTGCTTTCCAAGGATTAATGGGTTTGTTTTAGCTTTGAAAACAAAATCTTGCAGCTCCAATTGAGTTCCGCTTCCAGCAGTTCAAACAGTTTTCTTTTGAACTCTGTGCCTGTTGCTTTCCTGAAGGCATATTTCATAAAAAGGTATACTCACTGCACTATAGCACTGTTCTGCAACATTGTCTTCTCCTATTTCTTTTCAGATTTTCATGGATTTTTCACACTACGTACTCTAATTTTTTGCTACTTCTATATAGAATTTTTAGAGAAAATATCACATTATTACTCAAACCTTTGAAATAGCCAATAAAGTCGAGCACTGGTCACCATGTCACGTTAACGATATTGGTTTAAGAATCAATCACTCCTTACAGATTGATTAAAGGTGTGTTTATTTGCAAACAAGTTATAAAACAGATATTACAGCAGAGCAACTGAATGATGCCTGCTGATTAATGCCCATGCTGGATAATAGTGGAAGACAAAGAGTGATGGGTAGAAGATAGGAATTAACATTGAGTTGGCATAGGAGCTACGAAGTGCCATGGGATGATTGGGGCATATGAAGGGCAACGGGAGAAAGATACAGGATGGTCCAGGGAGTATGAGGGGGCATGGGTGTCGCTGCAGGACCATAGGTTGTCATTAATGGGGCATCGAGAATGAGGGGGTGTAAGAGGGTCTTTTTCATTTTATTCTACATTTTAAGAAAAACTTTGCATATAATACTGGAGCCCTCTAAGACAGTTTTTACCATGTTGCCTCAGCTACCAGGCAGCCTCTTAGACTTTTCCCAGGTTACCTGGGCAGACTGCCAGTTTAGCTAATCCCCAAAGCTAAACCAAAAATTGGAAATATGGGTAGCCACTTTTAATAGTCATGTTTGTGGAGCTGAGATTTCTCCCAATTCAGTTCCCCAACCAAAGATTGAAAATCGGAGCCATAACTTCAGTAGGTTGTACAATGTTTTACAGTTCTATAAAAAAAAAGGTTGAACTTAGAAGTCATCCCCACATTCGTCAGAGATGAATAACTTAAATCAGATAAATAATTACAGCAATTCAAACCAAACAGAACAAGTGGTGACAAGAATCCAACATAACATCAGGTTATTTCCTTTTACATAGTTTTTTTTATTATCAGGACTGACATAATCACATTTCCATTATCTCAAAATTCAGCTTTAAAGTTTTTTGTAATATCTTTATTTATTGAAAAAACAACATACTGGCTTTTTAAGAATGAATTCAATTAAATGCACCAAACCATGTGTGACAATGCTGTCATTTTAAGAGATTACTTTGTCCTGGTTTTTTGTTTTGAAGAGAGGTTGTAAAGGTAGACGTGAAGAAGTAGCTACTGAAGACAGCTTAAGTAAATAACTTTAGGAGGCCTTGGTTTTGTTTTTACACAGCCTGACTGGATGTGGCCAGCTCTGACAGACCAGGCTTGCCAATCTTCTTTAGCGTTAGCAGTCTGAAGTTGTTTGGGGTCTCAGATGAGTTGGAAGCTTCAGTGAATGATTCCTAGCTGCTACTTTGTCTGAAATCCCTTGATGTTGTTTCCTCCCGATTTGGAGAACTGTATGTATGAATCTGTGCCTGAATTTGGCTTTTGCCAAGGTGTGTGTTTATGGGGTGTTACTACATTGGAACAGTTAATTAGTAATAGGTATTCAGTTAAATTTTCCAATAGTTAAGTTGTTCTAAATTCCTCTTTCTTTTGTTTGTACTTTAACTATAGTGTTTAACTAAATTGTGTTTTGCTTAATGTCAAGCAGTTTGACTAGTCGCATCACATCTGGAACAAGCACTTCCCACCTACCTCTAAAATAGGAAAACGTTAGGGTCTAGGCTACCTTCTTGAAATATTTGGAGGGGGTCTGGTCTCGTCCATAACACATGCAGTATTGCACACACAGTGTAGTTCTCAGAGTTCTTTTGCACTAATTTTCCCACTGTGAAAATCTCAGTAAGAGATTGCAATCTAAAATTTTACTCACTGGTGTTGAATTCTTCTTGGTAGAAGAGGATTTGTTTTCACATTGACTAAGTCGGTCTTCAGGTTGTCCTCCAAAGCTGCTTCCATGCTGAGTTTTTGTCTTTTAAATGTTTCTGTTTAAACAACACACGTCACTTAAAATTACAACTCTCACGACATCACATTAATTGGAAACACACAGAAAATGCTCCATGACAAAATTCAAAATCCTGAACATCCTATTGATTGTGTAAAGGCAGCAATTCCTTTTCCTCCGAAAACAAATTTCTGTACAACAATAACTTGTATTGACATGTAAACTTTAGTAGAAAATGTCCAAAGTATAAATTATATATTTTCTTTACATTGTTATTTCTTGTCATGAGCACAAGATAAAAAGGGTTGATAACAAGTGTAGCACTTTTTATCAGCAATACGATTGAAGCAATATAATGTGTCCACAACTCTGTTGAAAGTCCAAATTTGAGAACTAATATGCAAGTGATTTCTAAACATTTCTAAACTGTTTTAATATGGGATTGGACCTGCAGCTGATAGCATAATTCACATAATAATTGATATTGACTAAATGAATCAGTTACATTTTCAACTTACTGCAGTCATTCACTCGAGTGAACATAACATACCTGCAATTTTCAATCATACATTATGAACTGAATAAAAATGGAATTGTTAAAATCAAATAGAAATACCATTGCCTTTGCTTTCTTGATATTATCGCTAACAACGTCTGCTTACTTCCAGTGGTTCACTGTGAACAGTCAACATGTTCTCCCTATAGTGGTCAGATTTTACTGAGAACATGCATCTAAAAATGCTAAGAACCTGCTTTGAAAATCATTATTTGACTAAGAGGAAGTTATGGCGTAGTGATAATGTCACTGGATTAGTAATCCAGAGTCTACATCTAATGTTCCAGAATGGTAGATGGCAAAATTCAAATTTAATTAAAAATTTGGAAATAAAAACTAGCCGAACAGCAACCATGCAACCAATGTTGATTGCCTGGTTCAACAATGTCCTTTAGGGAAGAAAATTGGCCACCCTTACCTGGTCTGGCCTACATGTGACCCCTGACCTAGTGCAATGTCATTGACTGTTCACTGCCTTCTGAAATGGCCCTAGCAAGCCACTCAGTTCATGGGAATTTAAGAATAGGCAATAAATGCTCTCCCAGCCAGTGACACTCACATCCCATGAATAAAACCCATCCACATAAAACTATGGTTTACATAGGAAAAGTAACAAGACCTTGCATGAAACTCAGCTGATCCTTTTTGTCTTTTTGGTACACATTCATGATTTCTTCGATCTTCTGGTAATAGTTCTGGATTAGATTGGTTACACCTTCCATTGTCACATAGACACTTTCAGTTGCTCTCTCCACTAATAGATTCTTTAAAGAAATCAAATTTGTGCAAGTTAACATTTGTATAATTATGCCTTAAATCTAACAGAAAAGCAATTCTACACAGTAAGCTGAGTTTTAATACACTTTAATATTTAATATTGAGATCTTTTTTAAAAAGCCTATAAATATCTATGGAAACTCAAATTTTGAAGAGAAAATTAAGAAGGTAATTTCATGTCAGTTAGAAGTCACACAACACCAGGTTATAGTCCAACAAGTTTATTTGAAATCACAAGCTTTTGGAGCATAGCCCCTTCATCAGTGAAAGGGCTAAGCTCTGAAAGCTTGTGATTTCAAATAAACCTGTTGGACTGTAAGCTGGTGTCGTGTGACTTCCAACTTTGCCCACCCCAGTTCTACACCGCACCTCCACATCATGTCAGTTAGTTCAAAGAACCGGAAGAATGTATTGAGATCTCAGGGTAGGTTTTCTAGAATTGTGATTCTGGCAATGAAACCTTTCATAAACAGAAAATTCTCAACACGCTCTGACCTCTGCACCCAAATTCTCTGACTGTTAAAAATATCATTTGTATGTTTTAGAATATAAACCTTTTAGGTTCAGGTTTGACATGTTTAAATATAAGAAGACTGAAGACACTTGGTTGAGCCAGTAGACACCGCTAAGGTGATTACGTATCCAAAGGGAAGTCTTATTGATGGGATAGTGGTGAGAGGTATTATGCCTCAGATTATAGTGGTGTCTCTGGAGGAGATGGGTAGTCTTAAGGCCCCTCAAAAAAAGCCTTTAAATTGTTGGTGCAAATCAGGGAGGTTTGAATTATTTTGTAGTTTCCCCAGACCAAAGAAGCACTGACAGCAACCTATAAAAAGTGCAGAACTTCTCTGGACATTTTGGTGGATACAGGAAGTCCATATTTTTCACAATGAAAGTTGTAACTTATTCACATGGATCCAACAGAATCAAATATATGTTTTGAAGGTATAGTTAAGTCTATATATCTATTTTGAACATTCCAGAGGTCTCCTATTACTATATAAAGCTAAGGGATACAGATTGGGACTCTACTGAAGTTTTGGTGTTACCTCTGTGATTTTGACAGAAAAGGCTGTTGATTTTTATTAGCCATTAAGATCAGAACAGAGAAGTCTGTCACCAATTGTGATTTTAAAAGAACTGGACTAGCAGCAGAAGGTTTTCAGAAACCGAAGGTATTTTCAGGTTTCAAGCCGTAATGAATTCAGTAAGTCCCATGCTTGATCTGAGGAGCCCACAATTGTGAGGTGGCAAAGGAGGGTTTTCTACCTAGATGCTAGTTGAAGGATCCAAGAAATCTCGCATCTGAAGCATAGCTGGAACACAATGGAAGAGCTAAGAGGGCTGTGGCATATCTTAGTTTGGTCCCAGAACTGAGAGAACTCTTAAGATCCTGTCAAGTGTATGGGAGCCCTCAGGTGGCAGTAAAATTAGAACACTAAAGTGTATCTGTTTACAAAATATAACAGGAGATAGTAGTGATTTCTTTGATTAATTCCTGCACCATAAATGGTTTTTGTTTAACATGTAAAATCTTGTAATATAGTTTATTCAGTTAACGACTGTAAGTTTGAATTTCTTTTAAAGAGGCACTGGTCTCTATCTACATCCAGAGTTGAAAAGCCACGTGTGGAAAACAATTTTGTAATGTTTACAATCCTTTAGTATGATTCTTTCATGAAGAAGGTTATATATCACATTGATTTGACACTAAAATGCAGTGGGAATGAATTTAACTTTTGCCAATCATTTAAAATGGCTAACATCAGCCTGGCAACTCCCTACATATCTCTTTTATTTTTTCCAATTGGACAGGATGTATGGTGAGAGACTATTCCAATATCACTCATCTCACATCTTCACCAAAGGTAGAATTACCCCATTCTGGAGAAGGGTCCTGGACTGAAAATGTCAACTCTGCTTTCTCTCCACCGACACTTCCAGACCTGCTATGTTTATTCAGTAATTTCTGTTTTTGTTGCTGATTTCCAGCAACCGCAATTCTTTTGTTTTTTTGTGTGTAGAATTACCCCAGTGTGTTTTACGCAGAAGAGCACCCTCTACTGTATCTATTACCTGAAATAATGCACTATAACTTTTAAAAACAGAAACTGTGTTTCCAAATGCATTAGTCCTAGTTTAAACTGCTACACTTATTCTATTAAAGGTAATTTATCTTTCTGTTGTTATGGTCCACATAAAAAGTGTTAACATTTTTTAAAAATTCCAAACAACCAGTTTTAGTCTCTGCTACGAGATTTCACTTTTTTTAAATAAAGCAGTTGTAATGTGTAGAAAAGTAAATCCAATGACCACTACTGACATTATGGCTCACAACTACGCGCGTGCACTCGGTTTAATTCTTACATCCCCCACTAATTCCTTTATAAGATACATCAAGCTTTAAAACATGTACTTCTGTAGGGACCACCCAGACATTTGCCTCAGTCCTCTGGAGAATTCTCTGGATAATCCAGTGATTATCAGAGGTAATCTCTTCCTATACCCTCCCTTCACTATGGATATCTTGTCCCTTGTTCTGGTTACTTTTTGAATACATTCTAGCTGATTACTTTCTTTTTCACAAGAATCTGCAGAGGACCACTGTCAATTCTCCTGACTACTTTCAAACTAGGCAATAGTCCAGTTTCTGTTCCCTCAAAATATAAACAGAGATTACGACTCACCCGTATTTCACAAGGTGAATGATGAACTTAGGATTCTACTCTGCTTACAATGCAGGTCTAACTGTCATGCACTTTCGCCATCCCTTAGTGAGCTACAAATCACTCAAGATCCATACTGAAACTAACTTTTTCACCAAAGGACCTGAATAAATATAAAGCAGAGTACCTCCTATGCTCCACCAATCTCCATGTTGACATATCCTCAGTTCTGACGGAAGGGTCACCGGACCCAAAACGTTAACTCTGTTTTTTCCATCACAGATGCTGCCAGACCTGCTGAGCTTTTCCAGCAACTTTGTTTTTGTTCCATGTTGACATAGCCTGCTCTAAACTACTCACAAACTGACATTTAGACACATTATTCCTTCATTTATAATTTCTATTTAGATCTGATGAAGTAAATGGGTTTTACAAATCGTGTGGGTTTAACGCACATGTTTAAACTCATTTAGTTGCAATGCCCAAAACAGAAGCATCCATACGGATTGTCATATTGCAAAGATTGCAGACTTCATATCTCCAGTTCTTTAACTATTTAAGTCCACAGGCTGTTCTATATCTTTACCTTTTGAGTTGTTAATCTCTTAAGTCAAGGCAACCCCAAACTTTTCAGTACAATAGACAGCAAGCTTGCAGTAATTCCATTTGTCCCATTTCCTACAGATAAATTTTACTTCTTAAAATGGAAGATTGTATACTAAAACATGTGAGCCATTAAATACATATTCACAATGATACTCATGTCAAAGCCTCCGTGACAGTGTAGTATAACCCCACATCATTGTCCAGGTGATGAGTCCAGGCTGAAATTAGGAATGCAAAGCATAAATATCTATTGAGGTTGTTGACTTGCTCACTGAGCTGGCTTGTTTTTGTTCTGCCATTTTGTCACCATTCTAGGTGATATCATCAGTGGAGTCTCAAATGAAGCAATGCTATTCTACCCCGTTTGGAATTTATACTGTCCGGTCCATTATGGTAAGTACTGTCATTTCCGGTTTCGATCTGTATGGGTTTATATATGGGTCATATATGAAGTATGGGTGGAGAACCATACCTCTAGGAATTCCTGTCCGTGTCTATGTTTGGCTTGGGCTACTACGACTACCTTGTCCCAGTTAAACTAATGACCTTCATTGTCTGAATGTACAGATATTAAGGAGAGTTCATCGTGCCTTTTTGCTGCTAGCTGATGTTAGTGTATTCTGATGGCTAGTTTCCTTCCTGTCTGTCTAATGTAATGTTTGTGGCTGTCGGTGCATGGTATTTTGTAAACCATGTTCATTCTGCATGTTGAGGGAATGGGGTCTTTAATCCTTGTAAGTGTTTGTCATAGAGTGGATGCGGGCTTCTGCGCCACCCATGATTCCTAGTCAAGAACATATCGGAACTGACAACGAGACTCCTGAGACCACTAGGAATCATGGTGGTCCACAAGCCCACAACCACTCTACAATGGTGTGGAGTTTGCACATTCTCCCCATATCTGAGTGGGTTTGCTCCGGGTGCTCCGGTTTCCTCCCACAGTGCAGGCTAGGTGGACTGGCCATGCTAAATTGCCCGTAGTGTTCAGGGATGTGTAGATTAGGTGGGTTTTAGGGGGATGGGTCTAGGTGGGATGCTCCAAGGGGCGGTGTGGATTTGTTGGGCCGAAGGGCTTGTTTCCACACTGTAGGGATTCTATGATTCTAACTCTCCTTAATATCTGTACATTCAGACAATGAAGGCCATCAGTTTAACTGGGACAAAGTAACCATAGTAGCCCAAGCCAAACATAGACAGGCAGGGGAATTCCTAGAGGCATGGTTCTCCATCCCTACTTCAATCAACAAACCTATAGAATTGGACCCCATATATAAACCCATACAGATCAAAACCAGAAATGACAGTACTCACCATAACGGACCGGACAGTATAAATTCCAAACAGAGACGAATAACATCGCTTCATCGGAGGCTCCACTGATGATGTCATCTAGCATGGTGACGAAATGTCTGAACAAAAATAAGCCAGCAAGTCAACAACGTCATCCACAACCCGAGCTACAGATCTTTGCTAAAACTGTAAATATCTATTCTTGAACTGTGTTAACCAGTCACTGTGCAAATGTTGCATTGAACTGGTTCATAGGAATTGAAATTTGAGAGTAATTACACAAGGCTATGTTAGCTTCTAATGAATATTACCTTAAGTTTCTGCGTGTTGTCATCATGGTTTTGCTTGAATGACCGCACTCTGGCTTGATGGGTAAGAGCACGGCCAATCTTCCATGCCATGTGATGCTGTAAAAGATCCACAAAAGCCTGACATTCTGCAGCAAGCTGTTGGTGAATAATTACGTCAGCCTTTTTCCACAGCTTCCTCTGTTCTTCTGAGAATTTGGACATCTTTTGAAATATAAATAAAATCCAAAAATTGTCAGAGGTAAACATTTGAAGAGATATAAAGAATGGTTTACCTTGGCCTAATCTGAATACGCATACCCTTTTAAATAAAACCCTTCCATTACTGACAAGTAAAACTAAAACTCAACTGTCAGTGATTATTTATTATCATTAGCTTTGACAAACAGACGATGCATATTATTTCTGTACCTCATTATCCTGTAGCTTCACGTTTTCATCCTCAAGCTGATCCCAAATGGGTGGTTCCTTCATCCGTTGCTCCCCAAGTTCACTGAACAGGCATTTTGCCTTGAAAAGCCTCATTTCTTTGAGTATCAAGAGGCTGAAGTGCCTTAGAGTTAGCTGCCTAAGCATGGGTTGTAAAGCTACCTGGTGCTCCAGAATAATGTGTTCAGAAACCCTGAAAGAATAAGTATGTACAAAAAGCGGTCACATACGCAGATTATTCAGAAAGCGCTTGGTTCTTAGCATCATAGTGCCTCCAATGCCTTGGGCACACAGGGGCAGTTGAATCAGATTAGGATTGGCATTTGTGCAAAATGAGCAAGCGGATAAACTTTATTTATGTTTAAGAGTATAGCAGACAGCTCCAGCAATGATTTAGAAGGTAAAGGCATTGTCCCATTCAACACAAGGCCATATAATATATACCCAAAAATAAAAGAAGAAGGTGCTGGAGAAATTTTGCAAGTCTGGCAGCACTTATAGAGAGTAACAGAAGTAAATGGTTTGAGTTTGATATGACTCTTCTTAAGATGGTATAGTGGACAGTGAAGAAGGTTACTAAGATTAAAAAAGAGATCTTGATCAACTGGGTCAATAGACTGAGGAGTGGCAGATGGAAATAACATGGTGTAGAGCTGGATGAACACAGCAGGCCTAGCAGCATCAGAGGAGCAGGAAAGCTGACGTTTCGGGTCGAGGCCCTTCTTCAGAAATGGGGGAGGGGAAGGGGATTCTGAAATAAATAGGGAGAGAGGGGGAGGCAGATAGAAGATGGATAAAGGAGAAGGTAGGTGGAGAGGAGACAGGCAGGTCACAGAGGCGGGGTTGGGTCCAGTAAAGGTGAGTGTAGGTGGGGAGTTAGGGAGGAGATAGGTCAGTCCAGGGAGGACGGACAGGTCAAGGAGGCGGGATGAGGTTAGTAGGTAGGAGATGGGTGTGGGGCTTGAGGTGGGAGGAATGGTTAGGGAGGCAGGGACTAGCTGGGCTGGTTTTGGGATGCGGTCGGGGGAGGGGAGATTTTGAAGCTTGTGAAGTCCACATTGATACCCTTGGGCTGCAGGGTTCCCAAGCGAAATATGAGATGCTGTTCCTGCAGCTTTCAGGTGGCATCATTGTGGCAATGCAGGAGGCCCAGGATGGACATGTCGTCCAAGGAGTGGGAAGGGGAGTTGAAATGGTTTGCGACTGGGAGGTGGAGTTGTTTGTTGCGAACTGAGCGTAGGTGTTCCGCAAAGCGGTCCCCAAGCCTCCGCTTGGTTTCCCTGATGTAGAGGAGGCCTCAATGGGAACAGCGGATACAGTACACCACATTAGCAGATGTGCAGGTGAACATCTGTTTGATGTGGAAGGTCTTCTTAGGGCCTGGGATGGGGGTGAAGTGTAGGGGCAGGTGTAGCACTTGCTTCAGTTGCAGGGAAAAGTGCCGGGGGTGGTGGGGCTGGAGGGGAGTGTGGAGCGGACAAGGGAATCACGGAGAGAGTGTCCCTCCGGAAAGCAGATAAGGGTGGGGAGGGAAAATTGTCTTTGGTAGTGGGGTCAGATTGCAGATGGCGGAAATGTCGGAGGATGATGCGTTGGATTCGGAGGTTGGTGGGGTGATACGTGAGGACGAGGGGGATTCTGTTTTGGTTGTTGTTGCGGGGAGGGGGTGTGAGGGATGGGTTGCGGGAAATGCGGGAGACACGGTCGAGGGCATTTTCGACCACTGAGGAGGGGAAGTTGCGGTCCTTGAAAAAAGAGGACATCTGGGATGTCTGGGAGTGGAAAGCCTCATCTCGGGAGCAGATGCGGCAGAGGCGAAGGAATTGGGAATAGGGGGTGGCCTTTTTGCAGGAAGGTGGGTGAGAGGAGGTGTATTCTAGGTAGTTGTGGGAGTCGGTACGTTTGAAATGGATATCGGTTTCGAAGTGGATGCCAGAGATGGAAACAGAGAGGTCCGGGAAGGAGAGAGAGGTATCAGAGATGGTCCAGTGGCAGATGGAGTTTAATTTGGATAAATGGTATGTATTGCATTTTGGTAAAACAAACAAGGTCCGGACTTATCCGATTAATAGTAAATCCCTGGATAGTTTTGTAAAACAGAGAGACCTAGCAGTTCAGGTATTCAATTCTTTTAAATTTGCATCACAGGTAGACAGGGTGGTTAGGAAGACGTTTAGCATGCTTGTCTTCATTGCTCAGACCGTTAAGTATAGGAGTTAGGATGTCATGTTGAGGTTGTACAGGACACTGATGAGGTCTCTTCTGGAGTACTGTGTGCAGTTCTGGTCACTCTACTATGGGAAGGATATCATTAAATTGGAGAGGGTTCAGAGAAGATTTAAAGGATGTTGATGGCCATGGAAGGTTTGAGTTATAAAGGAGAGGCTGGAAATGCTGAGATCTTTTTCCATGGGAAGGTAGGAGGCTGAGGGGTGACCTTAGAAATGTTTATAAAATCATGAAGGGCATAGGTAAGGTGAATAGCAAGGGTCTTTTCCCTCAGGTGTGAGAGTTCAAGACTAGGGGGTGTATTTTTAATGTGAGAGAAGAAAGTTTTTAAAAGGACATGAGGGGCATCTTTTTTACAGAGTGGTTTGTGTGTGGAATGAACTGCTAGAGGAAGTAGTGGATGCAGGAACAGTTATGACATTCAAAAGACATTTGGATAAGTACATGAATAGGAAGGGTTTGGAGGGATGTAGGCCAAATGCAGGCAGGTGGGACTAGCTTAGTTTAGGAACATGGTCAGCACGGAATAGTTGGACCGAAGGGTCTGTTGCCATGCTGTATGACTCAATGCACTTCCGGCATCCACTGTTTTTGTTTCTCTTTTCAGGATACACACCCTCCAGTTTTGAGTTTTAGTCCAAATTAGGTCATGCCAAATGATCTAGTCTCAGCAGTTCTAAGCTAGAGAAGTGTAAAATCAGCAAGAGAATATTGTCCTGATTAAATCCAAAGATTCTTGCTTGCACGTTCATGTGAGTGGAAATGAGATAATAATGGAATCAGACTTAATTATGAAGACTTCCATTGATGCTGACACTTGCGATCTAAGTTCTAAATTAAAAGAAACAAGCTCTTGGACAGAAAGGCAATGCCACTTGGAAACAGCATCCCAGCAAGACTGAGCGTGTGCATCATTGGATAAGAAATTCTGAATTTGTATTTTGTGTAAACATAATTTAGTTAGTAGCTCTCTTTAAACTTAAATATGTAGTTTAACTTCTATAGTTGCCAGCCTTAAGCAAGGGTTTGCTTGCTTGAAAGATCACATTAACTAAGAACCAGCTAAAACTGAATCCTCACCTTTTAAAGTGACTCAGCTAAGTTATTTTGTATGGGGAGCAAACATAAGTAGCCATCTCAGTGCAATTTAGCACCAACATTTCCCTAGTTTGGTCCTATACTCATTGGAGTTTAGAAGGATAATTGGTGATCTTACTGAAACATATAAGATTCTTAGAGGGCTGACAGGGTAAATGCTGAGAAGTAGTTTCCCCTTGTGGGAGAATCTAGGGCCAGTGGGTATAATTTCAGAGTAAAGGATCACCCTTGGAATTTTTTTTAACTGCAGAGGGCCATAAAGGCTAGGTCTTTAAGTACATTAAAGGCTGAAATAGACAGATTTTTAACAGAATTAAGAGATATGCGGTCAAAGAAGGAAGGCAAAGTTGAGCATTATCAGATCTGCCATGATCTTGTTGAATGACTCCATGGGATAAATGGGCTACTTCCGCTCCTATGTCGTATGATCTTATAAGAATAAGCACATCTGGAAAAGGGGTGACAAAAACCACTTAGATTGCATAAGCAACTAATTGTATCACATAATATGGCAGAGCTGCATAAGAGAAGATGGTCACAGCCAACATCTGCCACATTGCCAAAGATGGCCCCAGAATTACGTCTAGGTGAAAGGCAGAACATTCAAGGAAACAAAAGTAAATTAATAACAAAAATGTAGGAGTAGTTTCGTTGAATCACATAATGGCATGAGTAACTTTCCAATTTGGTCACCATTGAATAATTCATACTTACATCTCCTCTAGGTCACGCTGCCTCAGTAGGAATCCTTGAATGATCTTCTCCTGCTTATCGATCAGATATTTTTGTTTCACCGAGTTGATTACTTTCTCATCCATCCATACCTAATTATTGCATTGAGAGATATGATTTTCACACAAAATCTGTACTTTTAAAAGTAGACCCACCTATACAAATACATAAGTCAGAATTAAAAGTAGACCATTCAGCTGCCTGAGTCCACTCCAAATTTTACATTTGCATTTACTCCTGGTATATTTTTGTCTGGCAAAGAAACTGAACGTTATCTATTACCTCATTAAAACTATTCAATTATGCCATTCCCACTGCTTCTGAGGTAGAGAGTTCCATTGTGCACAACCCTCAAAAAAAATCTTCCAATCCCTATCTGAATTTTAAAACAGTTCTGCTAGCTCTCCCCTTGGTTCTACATTCACCCACAAAAAGAAACATCATTTTCACACCCACCTTGTCAAAAGCATTCAGGATGTTATGTCATTCAATAAAGTCATCCTTCATTATTCTAATCTCCACTGAAAACAAACCCAGTCTGTCCAAGACTACCTGCTGATTCTAGCTATCAATCTAGTAAACATCCTTTGAATCACCTACAATTTATTTACATCTTTCCCTAAATAAAGACACCAAAACTATACACAGTATTCAATACGTGGTTCCACTAATGTCCTATATAACTGAAGCATAACATCCTTTCTTCTTTGCTAAATTCCTCTAATGATAAAGTATGGTGTTCTGTTAGCTCTAATAATTACTTGTTATACTTGCATGCTAACTTTTTTCGACTCACGCACTAGAACACCTAGATCCCTCTACAGCTCAAATTCTATAGCCATTCTCTACTTAGATAATATTCTGCTTTTTTTCATTCTTTCAGCCAAACTGAACATATTTATATTTTCCCAAATTTCCATCCACCAGATTTTTGCTCACTCATTCATTCGAGCTGTATCAGTCTGCAACCTCATGTCTCTTCACAACATACATTCCTATCTATCCTAGTTGATCAGATTCTTGCCAATCATAAAAAAGTTAGACATACTCCCTATTTTCTGCCAACCATGCAAGTATGTTATCCCCTCTACCAACAGCTTCTACTGTACGCAATGTAATCTAGTTAAATCCAAGTGCAGTAAATCTACAGGCTATCCTTAGCTGTATGTTATACCTTCAAAGAACAATAATAAATTGATTAAACATGATTTCCACTTCACAAAACCATGCTAACTCTTCACGATCACTTTGAATAAACCAGGGCATATGAGAGAAAGAGAGAGAGAGAGAGACCCTAGAATGACAGTGGAACAGTTTTACCACTGCACAGAGGAAACATTGAAAAGTATTAGCTTGCTTTCATTTTGAAAAATTAAGAAATTGTTTATTTTGCTTAGTGGAAAGCCCCTTGGCTTAGAAAGCTTTTCTTGAATCAGTTTTCAGAAGTTCTGATTGAAGTTAGATGCAAAAGAGAAATAGTTTCTCTTTAAAGTAAGGTGCTAGCTCCGAATGGTTAGGAAATTGGTTACCTCAGTGTTAGCGTTTTAGTTGAAATTCTAGTCTAGAAATGTTTGGTTAAAACTCTGAAGGGGTTATTTGAAGCTGAGAAAGTCTCAGCTCAGTTGTGACAGTTATCAAGAGGTGATCAAACTGTCAACACTGGGAATTGGAAGAAACTGTTAAGTCAAATCTATAGATATGTCAGGAAAGGGAACTCTCTGGTGTTCAAGTTCTGTAAAGCGATAGTGTTGGGATTATATTTTTATTGTGTGTTTTGAAATCTTTTAATTTGTATTTATATGTAAAGAGTTTGGTTTATTCTATGTTATCTTAATTTCATTGGTATAATAAACTTTAAATTGTTGTTCAAATAATCTGCAACATTGCATGCTTGCATTTGGGTGGAAGACTCCACATTGCATAAAATATGATCCATAAAGCCAGATTTGAGTCATGTATCTGACTTGAGCAGTAATAATATCACCTAGGATCATAACAATTCTAACATCTTCCCCATGACAGATGCACACCTTACTGGCCCATGGTTTCTTATTTTCTGACTCCCTTTCTTCTTGAACAGAATAATTAACTGCTACTTTTCAAGTCGATGGGACATTTCCAGAATCTTGTGAACTTTGGAAAATTCATACCAATACATCTGCTACCTTTTTTGCTGCCCCTAAGACCCTAAGACGAAGTCCATCAGAACTCAAGGGCATGTTAGCCTGCAGCTCCATTAATTTGTTCAGTATTGCTTCCCTAGCAGCTGTAACTTGACAAAGCTTTTCTCTTCCTTCCATCTCTTCACTACAGCTATTACTGAGATGTTTTTTGCATCCTCTACAGTAAAAACAGAAGCAAAATATTAATTAATTTAATCTGCCATTTCTTCATTATCTATTAACTCCCCATTCTCATTCTCTACATGACCAACAATTACTATATTTTATTTTTCCATTTTTAGATACCTGTAGAAACTCTTACTATCTCCTTTTACATTTCTAGCTAGCTTCCCCTCACAGTCTAATTTATTTCTTTTGACTAACCATTTAACCTCTAATTAACTCAAGTACCTGATCAAATAATGAGTAACAGAAATACAAAAATCTGAAGACTGGTCACCTAATCAATCTTTTGGCATGTGGAAATAGGCAAAATAAAATGGATGAGAACTACAAAACCAAAAGGGACTGGCAATATTGATTTTGCACACCTGTTTCATTTGGGCCAGTTTTTCATGAAATTGTTTCAAATGTTGTTTTCTTTCTTCTGCAGCTGCTTTTTTTCTTGCTGTCAGGTCTTGCTGCAGACGGCTTCTCAGAGTTTCCATCGCAGGTAATGATACGCTGGTTAGTTTTGGTAGGGTTTCTGTGAAGAGCTCCTCCATCAGTTTGTCCAGAATCCGTGATGACGTAGAATGCAGATTCTGTACGATATAGCATTTCTTAGTTTGCTATGTGTCTACTTTAGCAAGACAACAGCAGTTTCAAATTTTTGCAGTTGACGAAAACACTTAAAGGATAATTTTCAACGTAAATGTTTGTAAAGTGAAATCCATCCTGTCCAAACCTCATTTCCTTTTATTCATTCACAGGATGAAGGCATCACTGGTTAGGCCAGCATTTATTGCCCATCCCTAATTGCCCAGAGGGCAGTTAAGAGTCAACCACATTGCTGTGGGTCTGAAGTCACATGTAGGCCAGACCAGGTAAAGATGGCAGTTTCCTTCCCTGAAGGACATTAGTGAACCAGATGGGTTTGTCCTAACAGTCAGCAATGGATTTTTATGGTCATCATTACAGTCTTAATTCCAGATATTTATTGGATTCAATTTCAACCATCTGCTGTGGCAGAATTTGAACCCGAGTCCCCAGAACATTATCTGGGTCTCTGGATTAACAGTCCAGTGATAATACCACTGGGCCATCACTTCCCCATTTGGTTCTACATCTTTAGTTGTAATTAGAAAGAATTTCTTTTCTCTTCATGCTTTTAGTGAAGAGCTTCACCCACTAGGAGCATGCATCAAAAAGTTTGGTCAAATGCTGTGTACAAACCTCTGAACAAAATAAACATAGAATTCATGTGATGTCCAAGCCTGGATTTAAGATCCGTGCTACCAGTCTTAGAAACTCCACAAAGAAGGCAGGAAATTAGAAATTATCCCAATACATTTCAGCTCTATGACTTCCCTTTACTTGTACATGACAAATATTTTTGATGCAGGCTTGAAAATAAATCGGTTAATTTAAGGACTGTATGACACACCAACTTATTTGCAGTCCCTTTACCTAGAGGAAAAGAGTATTAGCAATAAAGGCAAATCTCCCCAGATTGCTGATTATGATAGCTAAAGTAAAATAAATTGAAACAATCTTAATCTAATTCTGCAGAAGTATAGAATAAGACTTTGCACACATCTGACAATAAACTGTCAGACACACTCAACCAGAAGGACGGCTGGCTAGTAAAGAACATGGAAATACCACACCGTTGCATAATGTTACACAAATCTGTTCTATGAGTAAGGGAGAAAATATGGAGGTAAGATTAACATTAGATTGCTTCTACAAGAGCCAGGCCTAGGTATAAACTTCTATGATTCTGTGGCTCTTATCTTGGAGTTAGAAGAGCTACACTCGCAACAAAACTCTGTTCTTAAATCTCCATCAAAACATTCGATTTTGCCAGGGAGCGAAAACAAAATATCTTGCATCCTTGAATAGACAATCGTCATCTGGAAAATCACAAATGCGGGTAGTCCTCAATTTTGTTTTGCTCCACTTCAAGTCAGTTCGTTTGAATCTCGACTTTTTTTTGAGCGCTGTTTCTTTAAATTAGGTCATTTCCATTTCACTGCTGTTACCTCCTGGTTTTGCCTCTCCCCTTGATGTTGCTTTCTGTCCCCAACCCACAGCATTTCTTTCTGTGCTGCCCTTGTTCCAGCTTGCCTCCTGGCATTGCTTCCCCTCTGGCAACGTATTACATTTATTTTATATTTGCTTTGTAAGTTATTTCAGTTAGGAATGCTCAATGCTGTACAAGCATTGTATTGTACTGCAACTTGTACATTGGTTTTTATGGGCAAGGAAACACCTGAAGGAACCTAACCCCAGCTTATCTTTGATTTCTACAAGATCCCCTAAATCAGTTAAAGTCCATTCATTTAAAGTCAAGATTTTCAGGAGTGGAACCGCAACTTCAAGTGAGGACTGTCTGGTAATAACTAAGTAGATCAATTCTGTACATTTTTGATTTCATGAGGCACTTTTGCTTATGGTACAGAATTTACACTACAGGCATGGATTCTGTTTCAGAGAACACTTGAGAATCGATTTGTACTCGAGTCAGATTAGAATATCGGTTCATAAGCACAAGCAAATACTCAGCTGTCAGACACACTCTACCAGCCAGCCATCCTTCTGGTTAAGTACATGGAAATATTACACTGTTGCATCATGCGTAATATTGGATCTTGATTCTAAGTACAAGCATTTCTAAGGTAGGTGCAAGTCAGACCCACCTGAATATTCAATTACAGCTGCAAAATTGGTGGTGTTGGTTTGTAAAGGGTGTAACTTAGCATTTACAGGGAGGAGTAACCATTGTGGATTTTCAAAACCTATTATACCATTAGTAAGTGTACTATCAGTCCACAAGCACTTATTCAGCTTTAAACAGTGATCATAATTTATGGCAGTGTATAATGCATGGAGGCTATAAGGCTATGACTTAACAAGAAATGGTACATCATGAAATCCTTTGCTCTAAATCAGGAAAAGCCTGTCACAACACTGGAATGCTGTCCGAACTTTACACTCCTTAAGTTTCAGTCAGCAGAATAGAACCTTTAAACTGTAAAATGTATCAAAAACTGAAATCTCTGTAGGGGTAATCTGTGAAACAGATTCAATGGACCCTTACCTTCCACAGTTTAGTAATTGCCTTAACATCATTATGATTCTCCTTGTCCTCCACATCACAGCGGGTCTGTCTGTGTCTCTCTGCAAGCTCATGACAACTCTATAAAATTCACAATTACATTATGCTATATTATGGGATCAATAAATAAGTGAAGTATCTTTATTCAATCTGCCCACAATGTTCTAATTAATTTTAGAACGCACAATGAATTAAATAGCTGAGGGAGACATTATTCTGAAGATTTAGAGAGAAAAATTTGGCACATCATGTGTGTCACAACATTTTCACAAAGGCACAAAATTAGAAATCTCTTTTTGAAACATCCAAATTCAGCATGAAGGAAGAATAACAAACCTAACATCCACAAAACAGAAACTGCTGGAGAAACTCAGCAAGTCTGGCAGCATTTGTGGTCAATTTTGAAGAAGGGTTACTGGACTTGAAATGTTAGCTCTCTTTTCTCTCCACAGATACCACCTTACCTGCTGAGTTTCTTCAGCAATTTCTGTTTTTGCATGTTTCCGATTTCCAGCATCCACAGTTTTCTTTGCTTTATTATGTTAACCCAGCATCCACCTTCTCGAGCATGTTGTTTCTCTTGTTTCTGAATACAGAGGTTTGCAGGATTACAATTGAATCCAGTTCGAAAAAAACTTAAATCCGAAACTTCCCCAACTACGACTCAATCAATCTGGTGGTCTATCAATAGGCTTTTTAATGCCCAGACACTTGTACTCTCTGCACAAGTGTCTGAGTATTATCCAATAGAAATCCTCACACATAAAACTGTACATAAAGAAGGGAATTTACAACTCAGAGTAGGAAGGAAGAAATTGGTTTACATTGTGCAAGTTCTAACAGTATGAAACAGGGGTCAAAAAGATCAAATTCCTGAGAAATATATATGTTGCATCCAAATGCATTTAGAGCAATATTGGTCAGGGACAACATTGAGGCACACCAGCAGTTCCCTTAAAGCTGGCATTCCCCTATATGTTAATGAGAGACCAAATAACTGTTCAAGGACCCCTTGCACTAATTGGGCAGAACTGAATGCGGCTCATGAAAAGCCTTCTCTGCAGCCTAAATGGCAAACACTATTAAGGTCTTCTTTCGAATGTAATCTTCATGTAGATCCAAGTACAGCAGGAGTGCAACTCCTGACACCATGGTAAAACAAAGGACAAAGGTTCTCTTCAAACAGTTGAACTGGTCTTGCAGATAGACCAGTGACTATTTCAGTTATGAAAAGAAAGCATCATGGACATTGCAGTGAATCAGGCTGCATCCACGGAGAGACAGCAAGCTAAAATTTAGAGTCTAGATTACTCTTCATTAAACACTTCACGTCAGCTCTGATGAAGAGTCATCTAGACTGGAAAGGTTAGCTTGCTGTCTCTCCATGGATGCTGCCTGATCTGCTGTGATTTCCAGCATTTTTTGCTTTCAGTACAGATTCCAGCATCTGCAGGAATTTGCTCCTATTTCCGTCATTTTCGGTTTTCCAGTGTCTGCCACACTCTCGGGGCACATCAATCATTTTGTTCTCAAGAATCAAGCTCAATAAAGTTTTAGGTCAGGCTGCAGGAAACTTCACTTTGCTCCTAGTTCTTGTGTTCTTGTGTGTTCTAATGCCATGTAATACCAGAGATAGAATGATTTAGTTTCATCACAGTAGGATCTGATCACCAGAATCTGAATGCTGAAGAACTAGTTTTTTTAAGTGGAACAACATATTTAATTGGTGGTGCATAATGATGTACAAAACAAGAAAGTGAAGGGCACATTTGGTGAAGGGAACCCTAACTGGGCCAATGATTGTACTTACTACAATAAATTTACTCTCTCATGCTGAAAACATTCATTCAATCCAACATGTTAACTCCTACGATTATGTCCAACAAATTCATCTCAAGAATACTCTCCTGTCTGACCTGAATAAACTCGGTTGGAGTAAGCATTTGAGTCGTTTGCTCTTTTAGATTCATTGTCTCATGTCTTTGTGTTTCTTCAAGTCGTTTCATCAAAGTTCTGTGTCTTCTCTTCATTTCCAAAATGAGATCTTTAGTTTGTTTTGCACATTCTGTAAAATAAGTATTTATGTTATATGTGGGTAGAGTATATTGAAATGTTTTAAAGCACAAAGGATTTTTGAATTATATCAATGTCACTTTGCAATTTCCATAGGTATTCTCTGGTAGAAGATCAATGGAACTCTTAGGTAGAATTGAGTAAGAAGTTATGGCTGTTCCACCAAAGGCTGCTTTCCAGTTACAACAGGAAAATGGGAGAAATCAAGAGATATTCAGGCCATTTAACTTTAGGGATGACTCATTAAAATTACTTTTAGATTTGGAATGCAAGTAGAATTTCAATTATAGCTTTCTTCTCGAAGTAACTGCCCTTGTAAATATTCACATGACTGCCAACACATTGAGGCTTCCATATAATAGTATAGTGATACAGCAGGGTACATTCTGAAAGGTTACTCACGACAGAAAAGCTGCCACTTCTATAACCCTCTAATAACTGTACATTTCTGAACTGTTGGGAGCACTCATGTTCTCAATTTTGAGGAGTTCTGCTGCAGCGCTATCAGGTACGGACATCTCTGCAGAATCAAGCTAAGATTAAAGACTGCACAATCAGGCTCAAATCTGACTGGATAATTTTATCTCAAAAATATATTTTATTCATAAAATTTGTAAAAAAATACATTATAAAATCACTCAACTATTAAATAAATTGTGAAGAAAAAAAATGACTGGATCAAATTACACTTTTCAGGCAAAATGCTAAATGAATGGTCCCACTTGGTCACTAGCGGAAAGGACGTTGGTCAAAAGTACATCCTTCTTTTTAAAAATGGTATCTTTTACATTCCACAAGTATCCATTTATTTACAAACAAGAATTTCTTGCCTGCAATGAATTAGTGTCATCTGAACTGTAGTTGGAGCTCAACCACTTTATCGTTTTTAGTTATGACAGTAAATGGTTAGCAATAGAAATCTTTAGGTTCGTGGAATCCATATTGTTTTCTCAGCTTTAAACACTTGTAGACATGACATTCCTGAGTCAGTGAAAAAGTGATACTGGAATTATAAAACTGAACTTCTGTTGTGAACAACAATTCAGCTCAAAGGCTGTCTTTAAGCCTTACCATTGATGTATGTGTCCACACTGTCTTGAACAGAGTGTTGTATTCTGGCTAAAATTTCTTCTTTTTGCCAAAAAGCCAATGTACCATCCCTGTTGAGAACAGTCAACACTGATGTCACCATCATTAATTTGTCCTTGCTTTCTTGCTGCACAAGCCATGTCAAGGATTGAAGGCTCTTTGTCATGAACTCCCAATGCATTAGCCTATCCAGAATAACCTACAACAAGAACATAACTGTGTCAGCAGTAAACTAACTGCTGAATAATTTAGTTTTATTCTAAATTCTAATACATGTTATTCAAATCCTATTGGGGGAGGTGGTACAAAGCAACACACACAGGTGCAACACAAGGAATATACCTTTGCCATCTTGGTCTAGATGCAGGATTTTTCTAGAGGTGTTTAAGGTTGCCCATCACAGGTGGTCTAACATTGCTTCAGCTCACATTATTGGTGTGGGTTTTCTAATGGAGTGGCAATGTTGATCCAGTTTAGATAGGATTTGCAGTTGGGGTCCCCACGGAATCTCCATTATTGCAGACTCTGAAGCAACTGCCCACATATTTGAAGATTCCACAGTGCAATTCTGCTATGCCCGGAATCCTCCAAAAGTATCCATTTGGATCAGAACATTTGGAGCGTGGCAATGAAATTAAGTAAAATAGTCACTCCGGAAAAGTTAAGCTACCAAATATGCAGTCTAAATCCTGAGTAACTACTAAGCTGACTCCATTATCACCTCACCGCCTTCACCCCTCCCCGGCAAAAAAAAGACCCCTACTTGACAACCATAGGACCAAATACCACAGCTCACATAGGACTAGTTTGGGAGTAACTTTCTGCCTGTTTGGGGCAGGAGTGCTGGGTGCTCATCTGGAAAAGGACTTTGTGTGGTATATCCAATGCTTTCCAGGTATTTCTTGTTAGTGAAAATTGTTGAATGCAAGTTTTCAAATTGCCATAGTTAATTTTCCTACCAACCACAATTCTCTTCTTCTGCTGCACTGCAGACCTTTAACGACTGCTCAGTTGATATAATTTGCACTTTCCAGCCTACAGTGTTAGAAGCTACATATTCTGAGGAACATTTTCTGTTTGCTAGCAACTTACTTTAATTAGCAAGGGCTTGCAACATACAATTCGGTAAAGCAGGTGAATTTGTATCATTGCTACAAAAGTGAGATATAAAACTCATGTCCAAAGATACCTAGGAATTTTTTTTTGCTTATACATACCGTGATTTGAAAAGTCAAGGAGTCAGTTAGCAGAATTTCCACCTGCAACATTTTTTCACTTATGTTCCTCATTAACTCCTGTACAGTGATCTTGGGGAGTTTGGAATGATTCAAAAAGGAGGACCAGGCACTTTCAGTTTGCTTGAAAAATCCGCTGAGCTGAGATAAACAAATGTTAACAATGTTATAGATTACCTTGGCTCACAGTGAGTGTCTTTCTGGCAGCCCAAACCTTATAGAATAAAAGGAAAGCAGCAGAGCTAGGAATAATACAGCATACATTAATCCAACCTTGAAATAAAGTGAAGTACCTGCAGAATGGAGTTTCTAGTACATTATGAAAGTGCACGTCACAGAAAACATCCCATGCTTTAGATAAAAAGAAACCTGCAAAGATATTTACATGACCAGTAGACCCTCAGAATGAGGGTGCAGTGCAGCATACTTACTCTAAAGGAAACTAAGCAAATAAGAACACATAGGGATAAATTCTCTGATGGAATAATAGGAGCAAAATGAGAACAGAAATATCACAAATTTACATTTACAACACGGGCACGGTAAAGTTGCCATTGTCCCAGAGGATCACATTTTCCCATTAGATAGTGGTGAATTTAACCTAAGTGTCACCATGCCTCAGATGAGGGCGAGGCTGAGAAGGCAGGACCTTCATGGTGACCTCAGTTGGCTGAACAGCATGTTTGCAATGCACAATGATGCCAGCAGCAGGGGTTCAATTCCTGTTCCAGCTGAGGTCACCACTTACAACACAGCAGACCCTTGGGTCCATTGCCTTCAATGTTGTCATCATGCAGTTTGCAGTATTTCATACACTCAGTTCTTTGTGCTAATTTGGTGCTTTGACCTCTTTATTGGTGTGGGTTTTGGAATTCAAATGTTTTCCCCTTTGCTGTCGGATTTCTTCTGGGATTGCTCTTGTGTGCAGCTGTGGACCAGAAGCTCCACAGGGAAACAAACCTCAAATGTTACAGTTTTTAAAAAAAGTTTTGCAGTGCTTACAGTATTTTTCTTTAAATAGAATATTGTTCTTGGCATTTTTAAAACATATTTTGCTAAATGTTTCCCAGTAACTACTAGTTTTCAGCTTAAAGGTTATTTTTAAAACTTAAATTCATTTTTAAAGCATTTTGGGACTGAAATTGTACTAGCAGAACAGGGAGATCAGAAAGCACCAATACCTGAGGATCTTGGAACATAGAGTCATACAGCACGGAAACAGACCCTTCGGTCCAACCAGTCCATGCCAAATATAACCCCTAACTAAACTAGTCCCACGTGCCTGCTCCTGGCCCATATCCCTCCAAACCTTTCCTACTCATGTACCTATCCAAATGTCTTACATGTTGTAATTGTACCCACATCAACCACTCCCTCAGGAAGTTCATTACCACAGGGTGGTTTGCATGTGGAAAAAATTGCCTCTCATGTCTTATTTTAAAATCTCTCCCCTCTCACCTTAAAAATGTGCCCTCTAGTCTTGAAATCCCCCATCCTAAGGAAAAGATAAATACCATTAACTCTAAGTATACCTCTCATCATTTCATAAACTTCTATCAGGTTGGCCTCTCAACCTCCTACGCTCCAGTGAAAAAAGTGGCTACTTGGGAACTCAGCCCTCCTGCCGAGGGTGTAGAATAGCTGTAGCTGTTCAGTTGCAAAGCTCTGTTGACTGCAGCAAGGGACCTGCTACCCCATGAATCAGTAGGATTTGCACCTAAGAAGTCTGGAGGCAGGAATTTCATCCATCAATCAGGAAGAAGCTGGCCTATCAGGAAGGAATGGTGAGGTAAAGCCTGGGATTGTCCATGGACTGGAGACAAAGTATGTCTGTGCTGAAACCAGAGAGGTGAGAGAGTACCGTGGGCAACAAACCTGTTTTCTTTTTTTTGGAAGTGGAGGGCAATGGTGTAACATCCAACATTGAACAGAAGCCCTTGATGGAGGCTGGGTTCCAACAGTGAGTGGGAAACTATCCTTAGGTGGTCAACATTTGCCCACTCAAAGGCCAAACTGGGCCAAGGGCAGATCAGCCTTAGCCTTGCAAATCACATTATAAAACTGCAGACAGGTCTGAGCAGGCAAAAGTGCGGTAGAAAGGCCATCCAGGAAATTTATTGGGTCACACCACCTACCCTTGAAAACCAGCTGGTAGGGGAATATAGTATTCTGCCCCAGAGTCAAATTACAACACAGCAAAAGCAATTCCAATCGTTAGAAAGCTCACCACAATTCTCAGTTCTCGGAGGATGCATGAGGCAGATTCTGTATTAGGGCAGCAATATCACTTAGCATGCATCTCATGTGTCAAACTGTTTACAAATGCATCAGACATTACGGCCAATGTTGTATGTGGGCTCCTCCAAATTCAAAGTGGTTGAGTGTAGTTTAGAAAATCTATCTATCATCTAACTAGAGGAAACTTGTTGAGTAATCAATATAAAGTTTATTACATTGCTGCAACTATTTACAGGTTATGTGAATCTGACCTACATTGCTATTGAGACTGTTGGTGTACACTAGCCCAGCTCTATCTCTGACAAACTCCTTTTTTATTCTGATCAAGTCCCTGTGACATAATCTCAATTAGTGGTACTTGCTACATTCAACCAAGTATTAAGCCTTTCAACCATCATGTAATAGTCAATGCTTTTGTCTCCTTTTCCGGCTGAATGATCAATGATGCTGCTAAACAGCTCTCCACTGGAGTATTTCTCAAAGGGACAATTGACTTAAACAACAATAATCAGCCATGTTTGTGTTACTTTGATTGGTACATGAAGGTCTTGGAATTTGTGAGCCAAAGATTTCCAGGTGCACTTTGTTGCGTTCCTTGCTAAAATATAGGTAAGCAATGACATAACTGTATAGCTAATGGGTGATTTGGTAAGGGCAAACAGCAGACATGAAACTGGTTAATGAGCAAAGTTTGCAGCACATTATCATGGGCCATCCATCTTTGAGATGGTACTGTAGAGCAGAATAACAATGGCATGCCCCAGCCCCACCCAGCCTTTAAAACATAAACCGACATTTTCCTAGCTACCATCAGTTCTGAGGAAGGGTCACATGACCCAAAACGTTACCTCTGGTTCTCTTCATAGACGTTGGCAGACCTGCTGAGTTTTTCCAGCAATTTCTATTTTTGTTTCTGATTTATAGCATCCACAGTTCTTTTAGTTTTTAACAAATATTTAACAATTCTACTTTTTGCCTGTTTAAAGGCTGTACTGAGATCTGTCCCTGTGCTGCTATTCAATTGCACTCTTTGTATTGGGACCATGTTCAAATGACCTTAACTTGCAAAATCAAGTCACTACACCTGACATCATTTTTAAAAATTCTTTCATGGGATGGGAGTATCACTGTCTTGGTAGCAATAAATGCCCACAGGGCAGTTAAGAATTGCTTTGGGTCTGGATTTGCATATAGGCAAACCAGGCAAGGAACACAGATTCCCTTCCCAAAAAGGTCACTAGTGAACCAGTTAGAAACATCGAAAATAGGAGCAGGAGTAGGTTATTCAACCCTTCAAGCCTGCTCCATCATACAACATGATCATGGCTGAATATCCAACTCAGTTACCCTGTTCCTGCTTTCTTCCCAAACACTTTGATTCCTTTAGCCCTAAGAACTATATCTAAGTCCATCTTGAAAATATTCAATCTTTTAGCCTCAACTGCTTTCTGTGGTAGTGAATTCCACAGGATGAAGAAACCTTTCCTCATTTCAATCCTAACTCAGATGGATATTTATGACAATTAACAGGATTAAATGGTTTGCCAATAATGAGCTTTTAACTCTACACTTCATAGAACATAGAACATTACAGCGCATTACAGGCCCTTCGGCCCTCGATGTTGCGCCGACCTGTGAAACCAATCTGAAGTCCATCTAACCTAAACTATTCCATTATCATCCGTATGTTTATCCAATGACCATTTAAATGCCCTTAAAGTTGGCGAGTCTACTATTTTTGCAGGCAGGGCATTCCACGCCTTTACTACTCTCTGAGTAAAGAACCTACCTCTGACATCTGTCCTATATCTATCACCCCTCAATTTAAAGCTATGTCCCCTCGTGCTAGCCACCACCATCCGAGGAAAAAGGCTCCCACTGTCCACTCTATCTAATCCTCTGATCATCTTGTATGTCTCTATTAAGTCACCTCTTAACCTTCTTCTCTCTAACGAAAACAGCCTCAAGTCCCTCAGCCTTTCCTCATAAGACCTTCATTGAACTCAAATTTCACCATCCGCCGTAGTGAGATTCCAGCCCACGTTGCCAAGTCATTAGCCTGGAGTTCCAGATTATTAGTCCAATCACATAGCCGCTACGTCACTGCATCTTCCTGTAAAGAGTGACGTGGCCCTGCTGCTATTGCAACAGACTGCATTACAAATTTAAATAGTCTTACCTGGTGTATAGTATATTGCAAGTAACTGTGTTCATCTTGTTCAGCTTCCTCCAAAGTATAAGGTTGCTCACAATCTTTCCTGTTGGTGTCACCTAGCAACACCGGCTGCTCCAAGTTCTGTAGCTTTTCCAGTTCCTTTGAAACAGAAGAGTTCAATCACGGTTTGAGTTGTAGGGAGAGGCCGAATAGGCTGGGGCTTTTCTTCCCTACAGTGTTGGAAGCTGAGGGGTGACCTTATTAAGGTTTATAAAATCATGAGGGACATGGATAGGGTGAATAGCTGAGGTCTTTTTCCTGGGGGTGGGACAGTCCAAAACTAGAGGACATAGGTTTAAGGTGAGAGGGAAAATATTTAAAAGGGATCCGAGGAGCAACTTTTCCACAGAGAGTGGTGTCTGTATGGAAAGAGCTGCCAGAGGAAGTGCTGGAGGCGGGTACAATTACAACATTTAAAAGGCATCTGGAAGGTACATGAAGAGAAAGGGTTGACCTGGGCCAAATTCTGGCAAATGGAACTAGATCTGTTTAGGGTATTTGGTCGATGCGGATGAGTTGGACCAAAGGGTCGGTTTCTGTGCTGAATAACTCTATGATATATGAGATTGCGCATTGATATCTCTTCACAAAGAGTTGAGGACCAAATATGAGTTGTTTTGAAAATAATGCAATGATGGTAAATTCTTCATTGCATTATTTATTGAAACTAATTATGTTTGAAATGATGTTTCCTTCAGCTTTATGTCACTCCACCTTTGTAATCCTCCCTTCCCTCATTGTGCTGCTGCAAATTTCACTATGAAACTGGTGCCTAGAGACTCAAGTCAAAATATTTATTTCCTTTCCTTGCTATGAAGAGATGTTTCGACTTCTCTCCATGATTCCTCGTAGCAACTCAACTGAGGTCAGGAAATTGTAAATTTGTAACTCCAGGGTCAAAGCACTCCTCGTCAGTACAGGTATGTTAGTACACCAGCATTGTGCTGTTGTGCTCCCTAAGTAACAATACCATATTTAAAATTGTGCCATGCCCCCAGATTTTACGAAGGTAAACGCAATCACTCTCAATAGAAATGTGAGACAGAATTTAAAGATCACTGCAGGGGTTCTGTTCACTGAGTGGAAAGTGATGAGTCCATGTTGCTATTTCTGGGAGGCCCAATAGACCTTACCATGAATCAGTCACGTACCTGATTGGTGAGCTAATTCCTGGAGGGGGAGCTTCCCACCCAGGGAATACCCACCTAGTGGCATTATCGCTGGACTGTTAATCCAGAGACAAAAGGTAATGTTCTAGGGACCCAGGGTGGAATCCCACCAGGGCAGATGGTAGAGTTTGAATTCAATAAAAATCTAGAACTAAAAGTCTAAAGGTTCACTCATGTCCTTTAGAGAGGGAAACTGCCATGCTGACCTGGTCTGGCCTACACGTGACTCTGGATCCACAGCAATGTGGTTGACTCTTAACTCCCTTCTGGGCAATTAGGGATGAACAATAAATTACTGGCCTAGCCAGTGACACCCTGATCCCGTGAATGAATAAAAAAATGTAGGCAATTCAGCACTTTGAGCCTACTCCACCATTCAATATGATCATGGCTGATCAAACTCCATCTCTGTTCCTTCTTTCACCCCATATTCTTTGTGGCAGCACAGTTGCTCAGTGGTTAGCACTGCTGCTAACCACACAGCAACAGTGACCCAGCTTCAATTTCACCCTCGGGTGACTGTCTGTGTGGAATTTGCACATTCTCCTAGCATCTACGTGGGCTCCCTCCGGGTGCTCCAGTTTCGTCCCACACCCCAAAGTTGTGCAGGTAAGGTGGATTGGCCATGGGAAATTGCTCATAGTGTCTGGGTATGTGCAAGTTAGGTGGTTTAGGCCTGGGAAATATGGCGTTACAGGAATGGGGTGTGTCTGAGCAGGATGTTTAAAGGGTCGGTATGGACTTGATGGGCTGAACGGCCTGCTTTCACATTGTAGGGATTCTATGTAAAAATCCAATGCCGCACCCCCTACAGATACCAACCAATCAGGTGTCCACACCTCAAATTGTCACTGGACGTCCAGGAAGATGAATGAGGTGGATTCACCAGGGCTAGATAAATGGCAAACAACATTCAAGCCATACAAATTCTAGGCAATGACCATCTCCAACAAGACAGAATTAACCATCACCCCTTGATGTTCAATGGCATTAGGATTGATGAATCCTCACTATCAGTGACCTGGAGTCACCATTCACCACAAACTGAATTAGACTGGCCATGTATATAATGTGGCTACATGAGTAGGTCAGAGGATAGGAATCCTATGATGAATAACCAACCTCCTATCTCTTCAATGCCTGTTCATTACCTCCAAGCACAAGTTAGGAGGTAGCGGAATACTCTCCATCTGCCCGGATGGATGAACTCCAAAAATGCTCAAGATGCCTGACCTTACCCAGAACAAATCAGCCTGCCTGATTGATACCCCATGTAACGTTTTCAACATTTACTCTCTTCACCAGCAGCAATGTATACCATCTATAAGATGCACTGCAACAACTCACCAAGACTCCTTTGACAATACCTTCCCAAACTTACGATCTATTCCATCTACAAGGTCAAGGGCAGCAGATGCATTGGAACACCACAACCTAAAGGTTCTCCTCCAAGCCACACAGCATCCTGAATTGAAACTGTATCACTGTTCCTTCACTGCCCTTGGGTCAAAATCCTGGAGTTCCCTTCCTAAAAGAACTGAGGGTATCCCTTCACCAAAGGACTGCAACGGTTCAAGTAAGCAACTCACCTCTACCTTCTCCAGGGTGATTAGGGATGGATACTAATTTCTGGCTCGGCCAGCAATGCCCACATCCAAAGAACAAATTTTAGTAATTGCCACAGTGAAACCATAGAATCAAGTACTTCATTGGCTACAAGATACTTTACAAGATGTAGGATTCTTTTTGTCTGTAACCAACTGTGCCTAAGTCCAAATCTTAATGATGTTTTACAACAAACACAAGACTTTACCAGTAGACACAAACTGTTTAATTTTTTTTATTGTCTTTTCAAATAAAGTAATTGGAAATAAAACTTTGTTTGAGTTAAAGGCTACTGCTTTAATACAATGAAATAATGATTTATCGTATTTTCACTTTGATTGGAAACTGAGTTTACATTACCTTTTCTTGTGTGGATAGAAAGTCTCTGTAAAACGTCTCATCTATTTTCTCTTTCAAGTACAAATCATTCAGTTGTAATTTTAGTAGTTGAAGAAACATCTAAAATGAAAGATGGATGTATTCAGAACTCCTGAACAGTAAAGATTTGACAAATGATGGAATAATATCACCTATTTTTGTGCTTCTTTGTTACATGCAGTTTACGGTATTAATAAAAGGCAACATATATTCTACATTACGTTATGTACAAAACAACAGTGCATTTTTCAGAGGCTCAGGCAGTATTGTCTCAATTCTGAGTTTATGGGGAGATCATGCTGGCAGCACCGGTACTGGCATGAACACCCGTAGGTGATTCCCCTCATTGGGATTTGGAATGGGATCATGATGAGACCAACTAAAAAAGGCCAAAATTGTTGCTATACTGAACTTCTGGCAATGCAATGACACAATCAGTATTTTTACGTTAAGACATCCTATGTTCAAAAAGGACTTTGCAACTTCTCTAGACATACCATATACTGTTCTTGTCGTAATTCTGCATCTAAAAGCCTTAGGGTTTGCAGACTGAATCTGTACAGGCCAAGCTCAGCTTCAGGACTGTTAAGTAGGCAGAAACACAAAATTACAAATGGTCAACAGTGAATAGTATCAAAGAAATGCTGAACACGCAGAACCATCTGTATAGATGTATAGACATGCATTATAACTCTTAAACCTCTTACATGTATGTATGTGATTTCCATTATGGATTTCTTCACCTATATTTATAATAGAGATAGCTTATGCAAACTTCTCATGCCACAGGAAAAACAGAAGCAGAAAATTCTGGAAACACGCCAACTCAGGCACCTGAAATATTAACTCTGTTTCTCTCTCTACAGATGCAGCCAGACCTTCTCCAGCATTTTATGTTTTCATTTACGGGTCGGTTAGCTCAGATGGTTGGAGCATGGTGCTAATAATGCCAAGGTCCCCATCCTGACCAAGTCGGTAGGTTTTTAGGGGTGGCATAGTTAGCACCGCTACCTTATAGCACCAGGAACCCGGGTTCAATTCCACCGTCGGATGACTGTCTGTATGGAGTTTGTACGTTCTCCCCCCTCCGTGTCTGCTTGTGTTTCCTCTGGGTGCTCTGGTTTCCTCCCACAGTCCAAAGATGTGCAGGCTAGATGGATTGGCCATGCTAAATTGCCCATAGTGTTCAGGGATGTGTAGATTAGGTGGGTTATAGGGGGATGGGTCTGGGTGGGATGCTCTGAAGGTCAGCGTGGACTTGTTGGGCCGAAGGGCCTGTTTCCACACTGTAGGGATTCTACAATCTATTTCAGATTTCCCACTTCCACTAATTTTGCTTTTGTATGTTGCAGTAACATCCAACCACCACTGGGGACAATAAACTTCTTTTACTTGTTCCCAGATTCTTAATCTTAATTAGAGAAAAAGTCATCTGCTCCAATTTTCTCCTCTTCCAGTTTCCCTTATTCTTTTACTTAATTATAAATATTATAAAATGCAAATAATATATAAATTAAGGACAGAATACATGACTTCACATTGAAGAATGAAATAAGTCTTCTCATTATGTCCTAATTAACTCAACTTCAAACTTTGTTTCAGCGAAGGTGGATTGTGTGGCATTAAAATTACTTTTACAAGTGCTGGTCCACTTATCCCCTAGCTACTTTCTTCCATTCACGTGAGCAATACATTTGACTTGATTGTGTACAATAATGAGATTTGTGCACACACCTGTCCCTAGTACACTTTTTGAAAATATTTTACCTTGTATATCCCAGTAATTCAGAAAAGAATGTCACTATCGGAACTGTGTTATTTTCGTTACAGACTGTTGTTGATGGTGGATAATTCCCTGGAAAGCAATTGTAATCTCTCTCACTCTTGAGATCGAGGAACTCAGAATCTGATAAAACAAAATCTTCTTTTGTTCTTTTGATGGAATCTCTCTGCTTCAATCCTTCTAATAGAGAGGGATGAGATGATCCATCTGCTAGTGGCTAGAAATAAAATACATGTCACATCTCATAACTTAGAAGTAGAACATCAATACAATTAAAAGACTTAGCAGGTCTGTCAGCATGTCTGGACAGAGAAAGTTAACGTTTTAAATCAAATATGGCTCTTCTTTGGACTCAATCCTACTGAGTTTTTCCAGCACTTCTTCAGATTTCCCACAACCATTGTTAATTTGCTTTTATGATTGAAAGATTATTCATTGACTATTATTCTATAAAAGAAAAGAATTAGGGAGTAACATCTTGCCCTAGAACTGGAAAATCTGCATTTTGGATTTGGAGTATTAAATTAGACAATTAAATTATTGGTTACATAATTCTTTTAAATTGTGAACCTAATATAAACTACCATGTAACCAGATTTTATAACTAGTTTTCTAGTAAATACAGGTTTTCAATCCAAAAAATGATAATCATACATTATCTATTAATTAATGCAAACCAAAACAACTTCCAACTCGATATTGCATTACCAGAATTGCCGCTCATTACAACAACAGTGATGCTTACCCTGAATTTTTGATTAATGGGATATATGACTCTTGCCTTCAGTGCAAAAGCAGCTATATTACTGTTCAATGATGTTTCATTTTCCTGTCAAATAAAAAACGTATTAGCCAGTCAAAATGTTTTGGTGAAGTGTTCCAAGTCATTTATCTTTCTAGGAGCTTAGGGTCAAAGAGAACTCATGCCATGTTTAAAGCTTAGTTAAATGCTCATATTTCAATATAAAGCAAAATGGAAGTTGTAATTACAAAAATAACTGCATATTCTGTAAAATATATTTTTTTCAGAGTCCAAACAACATTCAAACTTGAAAGAACCAAGGATTATTCCAATTATTTCAATAAGAAAATTTAAAATTTTGAGAATGCTATCTCATTTAACTATTATTTTGCAACAATGGATAGTTTTTTAATAAATTCCCCCACAACATTATTCATGATTTGATATTGTGCTGTTTTATAGTGTCAAATACTATGGACTCCATGGGATTAGAATAGTTAGGTGTTTTTGTTTGACTAGTGTGGATATGATGGGCCAAAGGGCCTTTTCTCTGTGCTGTAGATCTTGATGATTCTATGACATTTTAAAATGGATCTAATATATGATTGGAGCCTCCAGTGATTCTGGAGTTATCAATGTTTTGGCGTTCTTAATGTCTAGAGCTCATTTCCTGAAATTGTCTTGGTGAAAAGTTCAAATCCAGCTGAATTCACTATTTTTCTAGTGGATGGGCATAGACCGCAACTGGGGTCCCAGTTAATTCATGAGTGGGGATTTGGTCAAGCTAAGGGATGGACAGTGCTCGTGGAATTGGGCAGAGAATGCCAAGGCAAGTGAACCCCGAGACTAAACAAAATTAAATCTTCTAGTCCACAATGCACATTGTACCAGGGCCAGCCTGAAAGAAATTGTTACCACACTGAAATTGCACATCCGTTCATCAGAAGACAACCTGTAGATTTAATAAAGGACCCTATTGGCCTCCTGAACATCTCACTTTGCCTGCTCAAAAGGGTCAGGCTGATTTTCTGACATGGTGAGATAGCAGCAGGATTTGGCTTTGCAGATTTAAGATTCTGGATGTGGGTTCGACTTGCAGGATTGAGATACTTTGCAATAATTAATCACTTTGTTTTCATTAAGCAAACGAGAAATTAGATTATACCTTGTTCAACCGGGGTTTGTTGCAAACAGTTCTGTAATGAAGAAAGCCATAGGGTGCAGGTCAAAATCAAGGTCATTGGCTGAAAGGTTTATTGCTGTTTATCACTCAGGCTAATGGAAACTTAAACTAACACAGGTGAAAGTGCTTTTGAAGTTGGACACGGCTTTTACTCAAACATACAGTTATGTGTGTTTTGGATTAGTTGAGTTTTGTTACATAAAGTATGTAACAGGTCTATTAGAATAAATATAAATTTTATACCTATATTTTTGAATTAGATTCTGCAGTGAGTTTTATGGACTTTTAGTTTTTTTTTTTCAAATCGTTTTAGCTGCAGAAATTGGGACATCTGTGATAATAGTTAATCATCCGAAGATGATTCTACACCTCGACAGTCACAAATGGCCTCAATTGTGCCACCTTGTCTTGGTAAAGAACTCTGGCTTTGGAGAGCTAAGAAAGACAAACTGTTACAAAAGGGATTTATTTAACAAATTGATTGTTGTCTCAAAGAATAAATCATGAGACTGTAGGAAGTGATGTCAGTAAGATGCCCATCACTTTTAACTAAACCAATCAGGAATTGGGAAGACACTGCTAAGCCACCAATCTAAGATTAATCATGATTTATGTGTTGCTCGTGCACCAAAAAGCCAATGAAAGTTCCAAATATCTCTGATCATACAGTGGCTAGTGAGGATCAATAAGCCATGGTGCTTAGGTGTTTGATACACCAAAAAGGAAGGTCAAAGACAGAAGAATGTCACTCAACAGAACAAGACACCTGTGCCCAGTTTAACTGCGTCATGAATTGGCATCCCAAAATGGATCCACAGTAACCATTGCTTTTATTATGATTTATTTTACACTTGTTATCATAAACTGAATAAATTCTGTAAAACTTGTGAAAACACATTTGCACTGGGAATGGGTCTTGTAATTAATCAGGATTAGTAAACTTTTAGATTGAATTTTGAGAGAGACAGTCTACAAATGTCTTATAATAGAATAGGTCTTAAATTAAAGGGCACCCCAAAAGCTTATACACCCAGAGAATCGATAGTGACCCTGAGTCACTTCCATGGGAGGTTCAAATAAATGAAGGGCTTGTCAGGCACGTAATCTTCTCTAGGTGTTAGGACCCAGGAGGCAGAAATCCTGGGTGCCAAAAGCTGCTGGCCAATCCGCAGCTCTCCACAGCTGGTGACTGTAGCTGGTAGTGATCCAGGGATCACCAGTGGATCACAGACTCAGATATATGCTGGGTTGCTGAGGGTCAAAGGGAGCAACGCCCACTTTCACGACACCTGGTATCTCAGACAGGCACAGAACATCTGACAACATGCCTTTTAGGGTTTGCTGGGTGCCTTTTGGGAGGTACTTGAAGGTTGTGCGGTGCAGCTCATATTTAATCCCTCAATCACCTTTAAATTCCAGAGGGCTCAGGAATAATTGGTGTTAATTGGTTCATTAATGAGCCTAATCAAATCCTGTTGCTACTTTTGGCCCATTCTCACTTCTGATTTAATCAGAGGAGATTTTTCCACTGCTAGGAGAATAATATCCAACAATTAAGTGGATACAGCCTCCATGTTATGCCCCTGTGATGAATTAGAATTCATCAACAGAGTCAAGATTTAGTTCAGTATTGGTGGGTTAGTGGCCAGGGACAGTTGAAACAGGGAATGTGGATATATTTCAATCCAGTTTTAAAGTCACAGATGCTTTGTTTCATTTTATATGCTTATTGTACATTCCTATATCCTAATTTACAATATGTTAATTGCTTATGCATATTTGTCCTGCAGTAATAACAGCTTCTTGTTAGTAATGGTGTTGTGTTTCTTTGTTTACAACAGCTAAAAGACTTTGATAGCTAAGGATCAGATGGAAGTTTAATTTGTTAATTAGAACGTGCTCAAGTTTCAATACAGAAGCACACACCATTGGCAAATGCTCTTGCCTCCATAAGACTGGATTATGATGTTTACATGCACTAGAGATATTACATGTGATTTTTCTCTTTGTTCCCGCTGAGTAACACAAAGAATAAGGCATAAGAAAGAGGAAATGGAAATTGAGATCCACTGCAACAGATTTTTAGTCCCTACATAGTCACCTTCAGAATTTTGAGGGCTGGGCTTCCCCACAATGGCATAAGAATCATAGAATCCCAACAGTGTGGAAGCAGCCCATTCAGCCCATCGAGTCCACACCAACCCTCTGAAGAGCATCCCACCCAGATCCAGCCCACTACCTTATCCCTGTAACCTTGTATTCCCCGTGGCTAATCCAGCTGGCCTGGACATCTTTGGAAAGTGGGAGGAAACCTACACAGACATGGGGAGAATGTGCAAACTCCACACAGCCCGAGGCTGGAATTAAACCCAGTTCCCTGGCATCGTGAGGCAGCAGTGCTAACCACTGAGCCACTTGCTACCCTATGTTTATAGAAGGCAAAAGCCCAGCGTTGGAATTATAGTACTGTAGAATGCTGCAAACAACGTGGTATGAAAGATCAAAGGCCTCAATCATCCTCTCAATACTGTCTTGCCATTCATTAATCAGGGCTGAGTTGTATCCATGCTCTGCTTCCTCAAGTTTAGAAGAACAAGAGGCAATCTCATTGAGGCATTCAAGATTCTGAACAGGCAGATACTGAGAGGTGTTTTCCTTGAAGATTTAAATCTGGAAGATTTGGGGAAGTACAGTCTCAGAATTTGGACTGAAATGAGGAAAAATTTCTTCAATTAGAGCAATGTCAATCTTTGGAATTGTCTATCATAAGTATATTTAGAAGTGAAATAGATAAATTTTTGGTCTTTTGGAGAAACAAGGAAGATTGGCAGAAAGTGCAGGAATGGAGCCGAGGCAGAAAATCAGCTATTGTAATGAATAGCTGAGCAGGCTCAAGGGCCCTAATTGATCTACTATTTCTGCTGTAACATGTCATAAATTTAACTTTACCTATCTGCTTTGGTTCCATTGCCTGTAAAACAATGGCCTGAAAAACAAACATGGAATGCTGAGTTTCTTAAATTTCAATGGGCCTTGCGTCGAAACTTTCTATAGCCTAGAGAAGACTAATTTACTTAAAGCAATCCTGCTCCCTCTTAGCATATCATCTGGCTTCAGGTCCCTGGACAATCTGGGAAGAATTCCAAAGCAAATACAGAATGTGCTGGAAAAAAAGATCAACAGCATCTGTGGAGACATAAATGTTTCGAGGCTGGTGTGACTTCTTCAAAAGTTCTTCATGAGATCTGAAGAAACAAAAAAAATCATACGGACTTGAAACATTAACTTTGGTTCTGCTATATACATAGTTAAAGTGAAGAGAATGGAATACATGTCTCCCCAGTGCACAGCACCGTTTCAGCATTATGCAGTACTGGGCATCCAGGAAATGAATGGGATGGGAGAGATGTAACTGTTATGTATTAGCAGATCTTTTGCACTACTCTTGATGAGTTGCATGCTGGGTTGGTTCATAAGGGTGGATACGTGATGTACAATATATTATTCTCTGTCTGCCGTGATGCAGTCTCTCGGCATTATCACTATTAACAGTGGGTGGAGTTTAATTGCCTTTCTGCTTCTTTTTAAGACGATCAACGACTAGACAGAACCACAAAGTGATCGGATTACTGCTATAAAACTGATGGATCCCTCCCTGGAACAACGTAGGACAAGAGAAAACAAGTACCACCCACTTCATAATAAGGGGAAGCTCCACGTTTAGCGCCTCTTTCGTCCTCATTGCTTTTAAAACTCTGGCTATCATCGGAATATTCAGAACAGGAATCATCATCAGTCCCACTTGAACAATGTTCCTGAAAAATAAATAAGATTTGTAACAAAATACAAACCGTTCCTCCCGCTGGATTCATATGTGACAGTAAAAAGGTGTGTTTCACGAATTAGATCTTCCTTGTGTTGAAAGGCACATTCATCAATTAGAGCAGTTTACCTTCCTTTGCAAGGCTGGTTCCAGTACAAATATATAAAGAAGTACTGCACCAGCGATTCCCAGGACAAAGCCCAGCACCACAGCGATCGCCAGGAAAGCGGGATAAACCTGCAACTGACTGGAAAGGATGGTCCATCCGGCTCGGGCTGAACAGCTGGCCAGTGCAGGACTGCTGCTGGCCGCCATTCAAATAACTCGAACAATCTCTCCATCCCAAACAGCAAACACCCTCAAGACACCTTTGCCATCTGCAAACATTGCGAGGGAAGTAAGGGAGAACGTTTTGAGACGGCAATGTTTATTCCTCCATTGCAGATTATAGTGTTTTAGAGTGGGATCCACCTAATAGAGCCTCCTGGGTGGTCTTGTTTTTCTGTGCTCCTGGCAACCGTCCTTTTAAAATAGGAATGTTCTTCCCAATTAATGTTTAATTAAAAACTTCACTTGGTAGCGAATTTATTCCTTCAAACCCTCTCGCTCCCCTAAATAAAATGTCGAGGAAATGAGAGAGATTTCGGCTCATCACAAAAGAGAAAGTTTTCCCAACATAGCTCAAACTTTCTTACAACTTTCAGCACAGGCCAACCGCAGAGGCGGCTGTGGATGATGGACATTGTAGTTCTTTCCGACCCCCGCCTATTAGAAAGACACAGAGATTGCCGCGCTCCTGCACTACAGGTACCGGCATACGTCGCGCGGCCGCCGGATTGAAGGCTGAGTCAGCCACACAGAAAGCGGCAGAATTGTCCAATCAGAATCTGAATTTTGTCAATCGGGCCTATCGGAGTGGGGTGTGGGGGCGGGACATTGGCTTCCCTGGGACAATGGATGCTGCAAGAGGAGTCGGGCAGGACAATGAAAGATGAACTTGTCTCCCACACTGAATAACAGGGCTCTCCTGATGCAGTCACTCTGTCTAGTATGCAGGACTGTGCCGGACCATATCTGCAGTATATTGATTCCCACGCAGTGAATAACAGTGTAATGCTTTATCCACTTCTGTGAGCGGTTCTCCTGTTTGCGTGGTGAATCTCTCGGGATCTGTGAGCTGTGATGTGGATTGCCAAGGGGACCCCATTCGTAACATGCCATTCTGCCATCCAATTCAGCATCTCGCTCGTCCTTTTTACTCACACTGGGCGAGGTCACGAATCCGCAAGCGCCCTCCACCCCTTGATCAATGTTTTCAGGTTGCAGTCACGCGTGATTTGGAGAACTGGGAAAGAATTCCGAGTTCCGACAGGTTCGATCCATTTGCTGCAGAACGGAGCTCTTGAAAATGCCTACAGGAAATCTCTGGAGGTGCCAATCGCTGGCGTTCACCACTCGGCAGCTGCTTGTGGGCACGGTCCAGATTTGGTCGGGAAAGGGGGCGATGCTGTTGCATACGTGAGTGCAGATTTTAGAGAAATTGAAGTGTTCTATTTTTCAAGTGAATGCCAATTCTTATTATACGTTTAAGTCAACATTAATTCAAAATATTTCACTTAATATTGTCAGAACTTGCATTGCTGAATGGTAGGAATCGGTGCGTATACTGGTTCCACAATTCTTTGAAACACACACAATGCTGGAGAAATTCCGCAGATCTGGCAGCATCTGTGAAGAGAGTAACAGTTAACGTTTCGAGTTGTACGTTTTCAGTCCGGTGGGACACTTTAAAACGGTAACTCTGCCCCTCCCGCTCTCTCTCCACAGATGTTGCCACGCCTGCCGAGTTTCTCCAGCAATCTATACGTTTGTTTCAGATTTTAGCATTGCACTAGTTTACTTTGTGTCTCTTGTTTTCCTTGACCCATAGCTGTTATATAATTTAGTCCACTACTATAATCAAGACCGAACAATGAGGTTTATTGTGTTAACAATTTTGTGCATTTGGAAGCACTCTCAAATAATCTGTTTTTAATAGCTAATCAGTCAGCACTGTCCTCGCATACAGTACAAATGTCACTTTTCCCTTAAATTAATATTCTGGCAAACTGTCATGATGAATGCAAGACATAAACCTTTGACAAATATGTCTTTTCTCTTCATTATTCAAATGCTGAACTACTAAATGACTTTTAACATCATTACTTTTAATTTTGAAGTGTTTGAAAAATCAGGATTCATCTCTACACCGCAGACTGATGACAGGTTACTCAGATTTCATATTGTATGACACTGCAAACACGCATTCAGGTATGTGGAACTCGTTCTTTATTGTTTCTGCACTTTATGTTACCCATTCTTTCAGTGCAAAATTGCAATTCGATTCTAAATGCAATGTCATCTTTTGCAGATTTTTGTTTTGTCAAGGGCTAATATACTGGTGCTGTAGTTGTAGAAGAATGTTAATTTTTAATGTAAAGGAGCTAATCCACCCTCACAAACTATAAACATAAGATTAAGCATCATTGTAACATTGCATTGTTATTCAGACACAGAATTTGACATAACAATGACAGCGCAGAAATGGTCATTGGGCCAATGGGTCAACTGCTCCCATTAATGTTTTTTTAATGCTCCCATTATTTCTTTCTCCCTTGGATGCTATTTGACCTTTCTTCAATGCATTAATGCTATTCGTCTTATGTTCCCTGTGGCAGCCTGAATATTTTGCATCAGTGTTTACGGTGGAGAAGGATATAGAAGCTAGACAATTTGGGGAAATAAATAGTGACATCTTGAAAAATGTCCATATTATAGAGGACGTGGTATTGGGCATCTTAAAACACATAAAGGTGGATAAATCCCCGGGACCTGATCAGGTGTACCCTTAGAACTATGTGGGAGGCTAGGGAAGTGATTGCTGGGCCCCTTGCTGAAATATTTTTGTCATCGATAGCCAGAGGTGAGGTGCTGGAAGACTGGAGGGTGGCTAACGTGGTGCCACTATTTAAGGAAGGTGGTAAGGAAAAGCCAGGGAACTACAGATTGGTGAGCCCGACATCAGTGGTGGGCAAGTTGTTGGAAGGGTTCCTGAGGGATGGGATTTATAAGTATTTGGAAGGGCAAGTATTGATTAGGGATAGTCAACAAGTCTTTGTGCATGGGGAAATTATGTCTCATTAAGTTGATTGAGATTTTTTGAAGAACTAACGAAGAATTGATGAAGGCAGAGCGGCAAAAGTGATCTATATGGACTTCAGTAAGGCGTTCGACGAGGTTACTCGATGTAGGTTGGTTAACAAGGTTAGATCAGATGGAATATAGGCAGAACTAGCCATTTGGATACAGAATTGGCTCAAAGGCAGAAATTCAGAGGGTGGTGGTAAAGGGTATCTTTTCAGACTTGAGGCTGTGACCAGCAATGTGCCGCAAGGCTTGGTGCTGGGTCCACTGCTTTTTGTCATTTATATAAATGATTTGGATGTGAACATAGGTATGGTTGGTAAGTTTGCAGACGACACCAAATTGGTGGGGTAGTGACAGTGAAGAAGGTTACCTCAGAGTACGACGGGATCTTGATCAGATGGGCTGATGAGCCAAGGAGTGGCAGATGGAGTTTAATTTAGATAAATGTGAGGTGCTGCATTTTGGAAAGGCAAATTGGGGTAGGACTTTTCCACTTAATGGTAAGGTCTTCGGAATGTTGCTGAACAAAGAGACCTTGGAATGCAGGTTCGAAGTTATTTGAAAGCGGAGTCGCAGGTCAACAGGATAAGGAAGAAGGTGTTTGATACACTTGGCTTTATTGGCTATTGCCAATAAGAGTTAAGAGTTAAGATGTTGTGTTGCGGCTGTACAGGACGTTAGTTATATCACTTTTGGAATACTGCATTCAGTTCTGGTCTCCCTGCTTATAGCAAGGTTATTGTGAAACTTGAAAGAGCTCAGAAAAGGTTTACAAGGATGTTGCTAGGTTTGGAGGGTTTGAGCTGTAGGGAGAGGCTGAATAGGCTGAGACTGTTTTCCCTGGAGTGTCGGAGGCTGAGCGATGACCTTATAGAAGTTTATAAAATCACAAGGGGCATGGATAGGGTGAATAACCAAGGTCTTTTCCCCAGGGTGGGGGAGTCCACAACCAGAGGGCATAAGTTTAAGATGAGAGGGGAAAGGTATAAAAGGGACCTAAGGGACAACTTTTTCACTCACAGGGTGGTGCGTATATGGAATGAGCTGCCAGAGGAAGTGGTGGAGGCTGGTTCAATTACAGTATTTAAAAGGCATCTGGATGGGTACATGAATAGCAAGGGTTAGAAAGATATGGGCCAAATGCTGGCAAATGGAACTAGATTAATTTCGGCTATCTGGTCGGCAGGTCAAGGTAGACCGAAGAGTCTGTTTCCATGCTGTACAGCTCTATGACAAACATGAAGCAGACTAGGACTAAATGGGTATTTTTCAGGCCAGCAAATGTCATGATCACAGCAAATGTCAGTGTGCTACAAGATCACTGCTGGAGCCTCTACTCTACAATTCTTTTAAATGATTTGGACTAAGGGTCCAAAGGTATGATAGCTAAATTTACTGAAGGTGCAGAATAAGTAAGGAAGTAAGTAAGTTATGAAGAGGGCATAAGGAGCCTACAAAGAGGTAGAGAGAGATTAATAAGTGAGCTAGATCTCGCAAATGGAGTAGAATGTGGGTAAATGTGAAATTGTCTATTTTGGCTGAAAGAATCAAAAAGGAAGCAGATAAACTAAATAATGAGGGATTGCAGACCTCTTGATGCAGAGAGATCTGGGTGTCCTGATGCTTAAATCTCGGACAGTTAATGTAAAGCAAGTAATGAGGAAAGCTAAGAGAATTTTTTTTTGTAAGGGGAATTGAATGCAACAGTAAGGAGTTCATGCTTTAGCTAAACAGGTCATTCGTGAGACTGCATCTGGAGTACTGTGTACAGTACTGCTCACTGTACTAACAGAAGAATATTAATGAGTTGGTAAGGTAAGTTTTCAGGTAAGATTTCCTTGAATTATAGCTAGAATGAGACATTGCCTAATGAGGAAAGAGTCAAAAGGGTAGGTGTCTGGAGTTAAGAAGAATCAGAGGTAACTTAATTGAAACATGTAAGATCCTCAGGGGACTTGACTGGCTGGATGTTGAAGGGATGTTACCAATGTGGGAGAATCTAGAGCCAGGGGGCCATAGTTTAAATTATGAGGTTGCCCATTTAAATCAGATGAGGATTTTTTCTCTCTGAGCTGTGAGTCCCTGGAATTTCCTTCCTTGAGAGGCAATAGATGCACAATCACTAAATATTTTTAAAGCAGAAGTAGGTAGATTCTTCATTATGAAGAGACTGAAAAATTATCAGGTATCTGCAAGAATGTGGAGTGAATGGAAAAGCAGGCTTGAATGGCTGTTTGATCGTACGTTTCTCTGAACTCACTTTTAGATAAATAATGACTGTATGTATGCTGTGGTTGGTTCACTCGCTGAGCTGGCTTGTTAGTTCGCAGATGTTTCATTGCCCTGCTGGCTAACATCATCAGTGCAGCCTCCGATGAAGCGCTGTTGTCTTTTCCTGCCTGGTATTTAAACTCTAGGGTCCATTGGATTTGATTACCTCATTGCTGGTTTTCCTTCGCAGTGGTTTATATATAGGGTCTAGTTCTTTGTGTTTGTTGATGGCCTTCTTGGTGGAGAA